CCGACTCAAGGATAAGGGGTCTTAGTCCTTGGCAGCAGATGAACCAGTCAGACGGCAACACCTACGACATGAGCCGTTTATTCCAATCCAAACGTCCGTATCGGGGAAGGGGTGCGTGTGTTGGAGGCGGGTTTGCCTCGGATGGAAAGAGCACATTAATCCCGGATGAAGTCAACCTCTTTTTACACTCCTCACACCGGCGTTTGAAAGCTTAATAAGCTGTTGTCGGTTAAGAGGTCAGAAAAATCCTCACTTACTGCCATTCATCCCTTTGGATGTTGGATGGAGTCATGGTGTGCAAACATTAGTGCACAAAGAAGGAATCTGCTTTGTAAAAGCACATTAGAAAAAAACATTTAATGAGGCACAAAACAGAACCTTCCTCAGCTCGTGATGTGCTGGCTCCTCTCTTCCTCCCCTCAGTGTAAAATCAGAGCATCGTCCCAAGAGCCCTTCGATGTTAAAAGTCAATTATGTTATACAACCTCTTTGGGAGACTTCAGCGTTCTCTGCCCAGAGAGCGGAGGCGAAGTCACAACCTGGAACTTGTCCATCATTCTTAATTAATCAGAATTAATGTGTTCTTTTTCAGTAACGCCCGGCTTCACATTTCTGCAGTTCACACCTGGGAGCCTCTGGCACAGTGCTGTAGTGCTGAGCGGCTCCAATTGGGAAATCAGGGGTTGGGAGCCTTGCATAGTAAAAGACGCCCCATTGCTTGTGTGGTGCTTGGTAATTCAGATTATGCTAACCCATATCATTCATACCCATATCATTCATATTATCATACGGACATTAATGTTGATGCACTTTTCAAACGTCTAAAAGGATCGTATTTCCCAAAATGTGCAAGTATTCCCTTGAATATTTAAAAGGTGAATTCACCAAACATTGCTTTCCTTTTCCCAGTAGTGCTATTTGTAAATTTAAATAGTTTTGAAAATATCAGCCAAATAGATGTCTTCCTTCTTTCCAAATAATGGAGAGATTTTGCAATGTTCTGCAAATTTCTGCAATTTCAAAACAGTGCCCAATATGAAAGGTTCATTCTTTGGAACAAACAAGGGGCTGTGGGTGCACGGCGTGCCAGCAAGGAATGCAGCACTCATGTCTGCAAATGGATCGGAACATTTTAGAGTTGCTGCTCTTATTTTCAATGCTGTTTTCTTTGACTTTGCGATGTAAAATTGCTCTGGGCCCATTGCTTATGTGTGTTGTCTGGTTGTATGATTTGGTACGGGAGGTGCCTCCCTCCAGCTCCCCCAATCCCAACTGCAACTGTCAACTGGCAAATCAGCTTCTCACGGAAACCAGACGTTTAATTGTTCTCAGATGCTAAAGCCTTTGGTGTGAGCAGTAATGTGTGACTTTGTTTAGGCCAGATTAATTCAGGGCCATTGATTAAGAACGCTTGTGTCCCTCCTCAGCTTGAGGTCTGAGGGGTTTAGAGGGCAGATGAGGGCAAGGTTTTAGGGAAGATAGAAGCGAATTACTGTGCATTGTTACCCTCCCTATTAGCAGTAATCACTGTTAATAGTATTACTGTTTCTGTAAACCGTTAATGTGGTAGGTTCTGGTCTTTGATCTGCCCAGATCAAGTCATATGTCATTGGGAGGGAAATTTCCCTCATCTGCTTTCTATAAAACTAAACCATACACACTTGATACAGCAGGATCAATGAAGACGCTTACTGAGAACATTACATTACACATTTTGAAGAACAAAGTTGAGTCAAGTTTTGTTTTGTTTTGAACATTGGATCAGCAGTTTTTAGAGACACTGGATAATAAACTGCTGATCGAGTGATACATTTGTGATAAACTCCAACTGTTTCTCAGTCTTAGTCTTAACCCTTTGACATGAACACCAGCTTCAGACATCAGAATGCTCGTCATGCACACCCTCTCACATTGCCGGCCACTGTAGATCGTTTGAGCCTGAGCTGAAAGCAAGACTTTGGTTGAAAACAAGTTGTGACATGAAACTCTATCCCCGGCCCACGTGTCCCGCTAGCATTTGCTGGATGAGTCAAAAACTCAGTCCATCAATTCTTGATTGTTCCCCAGTCAGTTTGTAGTTTTACCTTCAAACCTGACCACGTGACCCAGCTGCTGTGGACCTGTTTTAATCTCCAGGGCGCCTCTGTGCAGTTGTTATTCCTCTACAGTCCGCAGGTTTGGCTACACTGTGCCAACAGCTTGGGGAAAAATAATAGAGCCATCATTATTCTTTCAGATGGGACCTGTTTGGAAGGTTCTCAGCATAGTGCACCCACTCTCTTTCCTCACTTTAGAGTCATGGCAAGAGCAGCAATTTCCTCCTGGTTGGGATGTTTTTGTCATATGACAGTTGAGTCCAATAAAGTATAACGTCCAACTGCGCTTCTTTGGCATATACAATATCTGTTTCTGGTCCATATATATTTAATGATATGTTGATGCTCTAATACACTTGTTATGAAATAGTATACAGACTAAAAAAATAGTTGTTAAAGAAATGAATCCAACTACGGGTGTGAAGAGCGTGGTGGGTGAAAGCTTAGCTGGTGGAAACAAACAGCGTCCTTTCCATTCAGAATGTGAACCGTTCCAATGAGTGTGGCCTGTATGATACTCCACCATAGGCCTGATTGGTCACAACATTTCATACTAAAATGGATAAGAGTAAAGTTTCATTACATAAAAAAAAATAAAAAACTTAATTAATTAATTTGAAAAAAAAAGACGCACTCCCAAATTTTTGTTTGTTGAAAACGTATATAAAAGAAGTGGACGTAGTCGGCCAGCCATTGGTTTGTGCACCGTAGATTATGAGACTTTGCATTTTTGTTTTTTTGGCCATCGCCACGACACGAGGAGCTGACGTTAAGCCCCACGAACGCAGAATAAGAACAATTTTGTCACAATTGCAGGTGAAGGAAATACAAAATGTTTGAAATACTGAAATGCTTTAATTCACTTTCCAAGAGTTCGATAAGAAGATTGATACGACCCTCAAACCTAAACATGAGGTTAAAACAGGAGTCAGCAACATGGCTCATGTCAAGACTCCGTGAAGACGCTGCAGCCTGCCAAGAAATACTCCACAATATAATGGCCTCTGCCATTTAGAAGTGCTGCTGGATAGATGTTGTTATTGCTGCTATTTCTCAAAATAGTTGAATCTATCAGAACAAGTAGGAACTATTGATCACGAGAAATCCAAATGCAACTGTAAAATGAAAAAGAAGAAAAAGCAAACAAGCCTTTGTTGTCTATCTATTGCACATCCTGTATCTGTCTCCCTACTGAGGCTGCTGCAACACCCCAATTTACACCATGAAGGATCAATAATTTGGCCACATTTCCTCACTCAATTTAATGAGAAAACCTTTAACTGGTACTGTGACCGTCTATCTCTCTATCTATGCAGAAATGAATTCATCTATCAGAGATAAATGGAAACAGCACTTGTCACATTCTTCTTTCACTCAGGATTCGTCCCATCAAAGACGCTGAGCATCTGTCAGCGGAGGGAAAGCATTCATGCTACCAGAAGAAAATCATTGGATGATCAAATAATCACCTGGCTAAATATAGAGTGACATTGGAGATCTCTTGATGTCTCCGAACACTCAACAACATATTCACCATCTGTCCTGGGGGACAGATTGGTGTTTGTTGGACACATCAGTGTCCGGCTACACTTGTTTGGGGTCCTCCAGGCTTTATACTTCCTCAGTCATGTTTACCTGCATAGCATACTATATTATTTTCTGCAATATCTACAAACTACGCTACATTCATTTCCGTAGACCTGAGGCGGGACGTGAGCCGGCTGGACGACGTCATCAGGGTTGTCTCACCTGTAATATCTTGCTGTCACTCATTAGAGAAATGTCTTGCCCCTTGCTGGTTTGATTGTTACATTGAACTGCTCCTGTCACCAGGATATTATTGTAGTCATGGAAACCATTTCTTTTCTTAGTGGACCTGAAAGTTGAAATGGACATTTAATGGGTTGAGTGAGTTTCATTGTCCTTGAGCTCTGGAAATCTGCTTTAAAAAAAAAAACAGTTTAAAATTCAAAATGAAGGGAACATTTTTTACTTTTGAAGGGAACCTCCATCTTTTGCAGCGTGGTGATTTATTTTTTGGGGAATGGTATTGACATCTGGTGCTCTGCAGGTGTCGCCACGATGATTTCAGTCTACGCATTCCTACAGATCAGTCCTCACATGGGCTCTGCGACCCTGCAGCGCATTCCTCAAGGACACACACCAAAGGTCTCATAACGAATGCACGGTTTGGGATTAATGAATATAATGGTGGTATGAAGGAGGCGATGATATGATGTGCACACATATATTGTAATATTATCGAAATACCACCTGTTGTCACGCACTGTATACACACCCATGCTCCAAACTGATGTGTTTCTATCAAGCAAAGCGCTCTAATACATCTTGAGGCTCAAGCTGCCCCAAAGAGACGGCTGGTGCCCCCAGAGTGGTGTTTGCATGAGGCCCACTTTATGACCATGATGCTTTTTCCAGACCAGTGCTCGGCCTGAAATGCAGACAGAAATGGGCCGGGAGCCAATAAGCTGCTGCTTAACTTTAAGGATCAGAATCGGAATTTCTTTGGCAGGCCTTTTAGAAGTACCTGAGTTTGTATTTAGCAGCGTCACACAATGTGTCGTCGCCCAGAAGATGCCATAAACCGACCGACGGTACCCCAAACCCCAAAAGGTCTCGCATGCAGGAGAGATTTGCACGCAATCATTCGAGGCATTTCCTGCATCATTTTCTCTTCAGCTGACTGGCGTGCGCTTTGAAGCTCATTGCCTTACAGTAATGCTGAATGTAGCCTACCGTTAATTACAGGTAGAGGCCTGAGGCTATCCGAGTCCTAATCTGTGGTCAAGGATAACTGCCGCTCTGAGCTATCGCTTCAATGTGCCGTGACACGCTAATGGCTCAGTCCCAGTGGACATCAAAGAGCAGTTTGTGGCCGGTGCTGAAGATTACACCACGCGGCTGCCATGCTTTTCTCTCACAGCAGCCAAGGCAGATCCCATGGTTTCACAACCGAGATGTGTATCAGCCTTGTGGCCAAGAAAACAAGACGTGCGTCACCAAACAGAACCCTGAAATGTTCTGTGTCCTGTCTTAAGAGCTTTTTGTGGAAATCCAAGTTTGTGTGTTACATTTCTTAGGATTGGGTCAAAGGAGACCTCAGTAAACATGCATGTGTGTTTGTTTTCATGTATGTGTGTGGGTCTGTGTGAGAGAGAGTGTGTTAGAGAAAAAAGAAAAATAAATGAAAAGTGCGAGCGAGGTTTGAACATTATAATGTATCTTGGCACCTCCTCTGAAAAGAGTTAAGCAACACAGCAAAGTAATTTGTCGGAAATGACACAAGCCCCGTGTGAGCTAACACAGTGTAATCCGCCCAAATATGTCACTGATTTAAAATCATAACATTGTACAGGACATGAAACAGCAGGTGCGGATCAATCGCGATGCGTTTGATTTACAGTCAACGTGCTTGTTTTCCACTCAGTAACCCCCAGGTGGGAAACAGCTTCGAACCCCACGCTCCGTAATTGCGAGCATGTGGCCTCGCGCAGCGTCCAAGGCCCTCTGGCATGTCCACGGCGGTCTTGACTTTTTTTTTTAACAGCATGTCCATTGGAGGAGCACAGATTGGTGCCGCAGTGTAGTCTGCATGTCACCCATCGACTCAACGGTATAACAAGCACACACAAGACAACGTCTCCACGCCACGGTAGGGAGATGAAAAAGCCGGATGTCGGCGGCTCGGTTTGTCTCTCTGTTTGTACTTTTCCCTCACTCCTTTCAAACTGGCTGAAGGGGCTGCTTATCGCTCCTCTCGGGCCCTCCGGCCCCCTTCAATGGTCCCATAAACAATGAGAGCGGATCTGAATGTGACAGGTGCGTTCTCTTCAGCCCGGACCAAACCCAACCGAGGGCCGTCAGCTGGGGGGGGAGCCGGCGCTGGCAGCCGGCGCTGGCAGCCGGCGGGCAGCCGGTGCTGACAGCGACCCGCTGCCCTCTCAGCGCAAGCTGCTCGCGGAGGTAATGCACATGTTAGTTAATGCGACGACTCCTACATCCCAGAATTGATCATTTTAGCCACAGCAAACAACTTCGTTTGGTGCCTGATTTACACGCCGAACGGGTTGACAGACTTTGGACAGAGTTGGAGACGAGACGCTGATGGGCGAGATTACACAGCACGCATTAATCAGGATGTTGTCCTTTCTGATTTCGCCTTAATGAGTTAATTAAACTGTGGGGCGGAAAAGGGGGGTTAGATCAACAGTGGAACTGAAGGTTCATTAACTTAAGAAAAGTAACCGCAACTTTCATGTGTGTTCCTGAAACAAACAGTGACGTCCCTGCTGGGAAATCAAACCCACACGAATGACGATGGGATTGTGACCTTCACATTGTTCCCTCCACAAAGAAAAAAACTCGCCTGTGCGTCATGTTCAAAGAAACATTCAGGATCCATCACATCTGCAACTATTTAGGGAGAATGAATTATTTCAGTGTTTAAACTTGGGTACAGCTAACACCTTAGGGGAGGAAAATCAAATGGGACCAACAGGCCAGGAAATGTGCGCCAGGGGACTTTTGTCAATCTCGATCTCCCCGGATCGGTCTGGATGAATCCGGTGAGATCAGCTGCTGCTGTAAACAACACTCCGCAGCTGAAGCCGCCACGTGTTCACTGCCACAGGCAGACCCCCTTTGAGTCCGCGTCCTGGAGGACTTTGTCATATCAGAACCACGTGCCCGCCAACACGCAGCCTTTTTGAATCAGCGCGCGGCTCTCCGTGCAAACCTCGAAGGAAGAACTCGCTTATCGGACTCCCCTGCATACGCACACGCTACGCACACCCGTCATTACAGAGCGCATCCTCGCCTTGGTTTGCCATTTATTCATCATGTCATTTGCAAAATAGGACGATTTTACTGTGGCTGCTAGACCTAAATTATGTGGGAAAATCTGTGTTGATGCTGCTGGGATGTTTGCTCAGGTCGCTGAAGCGTCACAATACGCGTCTAATAAACCCCGTTAGCATCTTCCATTTTGAATAACAAAGAGAGTCCGCGTGTTTCTGACAGTAGTGATTGTTACAGATAAAACAGTCCCATTCAGAAGGCACCGGGTTTGCGCGGCCTGCTGCGCCATGATGCTCGCCACAATCCCCTCAACGTCTGCTAAATACTGAGTGTTTTTTGTCAATATTAGCGGGACTACTTGAGGGGAAGTTTATAATTGGACACGTGTTTCCCCCGCTTTTTTGTCGTTTGGAGATCAACTGATTCCATTGTAATACGTTTTTAAAGCAATGAGCGATCCACAAGGAGGGGTAAAGTGTTCTTAAGAGCTCCCTTTCAGCCTTTACAAATGGCCAGAGCAACCCGCAGAGCAGCACGGAGGCCCTGGAAGTATTTAATCCATGAGATGTGTCACACAGCGGCAGAGATTCAGGCACATGCAGGTAAGCAGTTGGTTTGAGAAGTAACGACGCACACTGCCCTCCGTCGCTCAGAGACTGGGGAAGAACCGGGCTCATTTCATTTTTGCCTTTACGATTTATAGACAATGGAGGATATGCTTTTTGACTTCGACCAGGATGGCGCAAAGGATTTTGCATTTTGGGGACAAATGGACCAAAACTTCCAGTTTCAGAGCCAGCTGGACAACTTCCTGCTGGACTACAGCACGGCCGCCGGCCAGCTCTCCCCCTGGTCCTCCCTGGGGAGTCAGTCCATGTTCCCCGACGCGCAGCTGACCTTCACCGACCTCGACGTGCAGTCCCCGGGGGCGGACGTGTGCACAGAGGGAGAAGGCTCCTCCATGGACGACCCCCTGGAGGTGACCAAGCACAGGGCGCGGCGGATGGTGACCCATCACCCCTACAAGGTGCAGCGACACGCCGCCAACATCCGGGAGAGGAAGAGGATGCTGAGCATCAATTCCGCCTTCGAGGAGCTGCGGTGCCACGTGCCCACGTTCCCCTATGAGAAGCGGCTGTCGAAGATAGACACCCTGCGGCTGGCCATCGCCTACATCGCCCTGCTGAGAGAGATCCTCGTGTCGGGCTGCGACCCCAAGTCCTACGTAGACGAGTGCATGAAGAGCGGCTACAAGAATCACACCAACGCCATCTGGAACACCAGCGGTGAGCTGATCACCCTCGTTAGCTCACAATCCAGCTGTGATTACCTGATGCAGATGAGGTCGAGGTAATCTTATGGCCAGCTAATTTAGATATGTTGGTCAGAACATAACCCTAACCCTAACATAATCAATCAGCAATGTATTATTTCTAAAGAACATCAGTCTTGACTCATACAGGTTTTTGCTAAATGTTTGCAAAATAGACTGGCTACTTTCCTCTCTGAATATTGGAGAACATATTGTTTACTAGATGATTCACTGAATTCATCTTCACATATATGGATGATATATATTGGATGTCATGAAACCCTAATAGAGGTTTTCAATGAACACACAGTGATCTCAGACTAATGCTGTGTGTTTTCTGCACACTCTTACCCCTGAGCGCGGTACCATCAGGCATCTTTCAACTGAAAGCTCATTTCACTGAAACACAATTACCTGGATTCTTACGGCCGCCGCGCTCTTAACTAATTCTGTGGGAATCTGCCTCTTCGTGGCGCTTTTCAGGAGTGAGTGTGCCCCCCATCAGCCCCCCCCGCCCCTCAGACCCAGGACTTAAACAGTCATTAAAATGTAACAAAACTTATGTGTTTGTCCTGCTTTTGTCTCGCTCTGCCCCCCGTGCTCCCTTTCCCCAGACCTGACGGCCCGCCTCTCTTGGATAAAGTGGGATTAACTGAGGAACGTGGGGCACCCCGAGCGTGGCCATGGCGGCGGGGAGGAGGCTCAAGTTTGTTTCACGCTCTCTCTACGGGGTCGACGGATCGACATCTGCAGACTTCTCATCGGGTCACACACCTCAGGCTTTTCTCAACCTCGACCCACTCCTTCTGCCTCCGGGGCTTTTAATATTCTAATTTATTGTTGACTGGTAATTGAGAGCCATTGTTTCTGCTGTTTGGGGGGGGAAAGAGGGTTGGCATTGTTTGCCCAATTGGATGGGTGGCACTTGTCCCGGAGTGAGGGAGAGCGATGGGGGGGGGCACACTGGCACGGGTCTGAATGGACTTTCTAAAGGGCTCATACTTCTGCATGTAGCGCTGAAGTGTTGTCTGGACTCCGGCTCATTAGTCTGCCAGCCGATGTGTTAAAAAGAGCCTTGATCATGTAAATGAGACAATGGGCGTGAGAAGCAGATCCGTGCAACGTCTTTTAGCGCGTCAGGTGCTGATTCCAAACACGCCATGGAGGCTAGTGGCGTACTGCGCGTTTCATTTGTCGTCTGCTGTATTATTTATTTATTTATTCGTCATTTTTGTTATTTATGACTGTTGTACTACCTTGGATGTGTCTTCCAACCAACTGTGATTATTTATTGTTCTGTCGTTTGGGATTTACTGTCCATTTGGAACCTGTGAAAGTCTATCTGTGTATTTGTCAACATTGATCTCTACTCGGGATCATAAAAAGCTTCTTTTCCCACAACTTATCCAGTTCATTTGTGGTCGATTCACCGTTTCAAGGGTACATCACCTCTCTGCCTCCCTGATATCTTTTTGTGTTCGCTTTACAGATGACTCAAAAGCTCTGATATCTATTCAAACCAGAAGGCCACGTTTGACCAAACACCTCATAAATGTAGTGAAGACTTCAGAGCTCAGCGAGTCCAGACGGAGCGCTTTGCTCTCCACACAACCAGGATCAGTGAGGAATGTTACAGGTGTCATTCCTCAGAGGTGAGCTCTATTCCAAGCCTCAAACTACCGCTGTGCCGATGATGGATGGACCGCTGGTACAAATTGAGAAAACACTCAGTCTCTGTTGCCGTGACAGGACACAGACTCTTCATGTAGAAGCTGGGGGACAGAAAACCTTTAACCAAACACCAATGTTTCTTATATTTACCTATATCATCATTTTGTTATTGTCCTGACTAATACTAATAACGGCATGGCAGGCAGAGTGGATATGCTGGTAATTCAAAATTAGCTCTAAACACAAAATTTAGATCATCATTATTTTTCAGGTACTGTACATGGTTATAAACCAAAGTATTGGATAATCTGTTGCTCCCGTTCTCACCCCCGACTCATCAAATACAGACGTTTGAGCTCCGCACTCTCTGCACACAAAATAATGCTTTCTACTTGCTCCAATGGAAACCCAGCTGCTTCGCTATTAGTTGGTAAGTCAGCATAATGTGTGAGGTATTCTAATACCGGTGTCTGGGAGGTGGATGGTAAACCAATTACAACACTGTTTTCCTGTCTTGAGTGAAACTGAAAGCGATTATTGACCCTTTGTCTTGAGAGTTCTGAGTCAGTCCAGTTCTACATCGAACTCTCTCTTTTGCTAAATCTGACTAAATGACTTTGTGACTCTGTGAAGACGGTTGTGAGTTTAGGAAGAAAATGACGTCAAAAACTAGAGCTGTTCCTAGAGCATCATAGTTTGAATTTTGACCTAGCGTTGTTGCCAAATTTCATGGACATCCATTGAGAAAGAAAATCCAGCAGGAAAAGTCAATAGGATTCATCCATTGGGCACAATATATTTTTTTGCAAAATGCAACGGCAATCCATTGAATAGTAATTGAGACTCACAAACCTCAAATTGTCTATCAGAAGTATCAGTATCAGACAGTGAGTTGTACGTCCTGTAACGATCCATGACTATCCCTGTTTTTACTCTATGAGGATGTAAAGCACAAAGAGAAGATGAAAAGTGGTTATTTGTGTTTCATCTGGGTAGTTTCTCCCTGCAGCCCACAGATGCTGCTCCAGCGCTGCAGGTTTAGATGTGTAAAACAGGCAAAGGGTCCACAACTCCTCTTCTACACGTAAACGTAGGGCCAGTAATGGAGCCCTGAGGAGATAATTAAGAAATAACCCAGTTACGAGATGCACACCACGTCCACACGGACTGAATTCCTGGTTCGGGGGGGTTTCGTCACGGTAAATAAAAAATGGCTCCCTAGTTGTTCTAGAAACCGAATGAATGCAGCATCAAATATGTTGCCTATTAGTACTCAGCAAAAGGGTAATAAAATGAAATTGGATCGGTGGATTCTAGAGAAGAAAAGCTGTCCTATTGTCCCTGTGTGTGTGTGTGAGCGTGCTCAAACACTTCAGTGACTCCCTGCTCCTACAGGTGCTTACAGATGTTGCGGTGACTCCGTCTACACACCTGTTTGATGTGAATGCACACAAGGGACCTTGGATTATGTAAGAAACAGGTTGTCCTGAGGAACATGGCTTAGTAAAAGAAATATGTGAAACATAATGTAGAGCAGTTTTCATAGCAGAAGAGCATTACGTGAACTTGCCCACAATAATTATGTCAATGCATTTGATGGAGCCGATGTGGCACTGCGATGCTCAGGGGCCCACGGGTCCCCCTAGTGGCGTTATTTGTTTCCTTTATTCATTCATTTATTCAAGCAGAACATTCTGATTTGTGTCGGAATCAATAGCTTTGAGCTGTGGAAAGATTTGTATCCAGCTTGACAAATTCTGATATTTGTTGTAGTCTTTTTTTGAACCATTTGTTACAAATGTCCCATAAAACAAGCAGACGTACACATGAGTGCAACAAGAAGTGGAGCAGCATCATCGACCCATCAGCTGGTTTTCGCTGCTCAGGATCACTATTACAATGTGTGTCGCACCACGTTCATTTACATGACGACTCATTTATACACGCAAGTATATTACTCTGCCAAATTTAAAGTATGAGCTAAAAGGCTTAATTGGGTATTGTAGAAAAAAAACAAAAGGAAATCTGCAGGACAACTGATGAAGCTCATGAGATATGGTTGAAAGCTCTAGAGAAAGCTACAATTGGTTAAACGCAATAATCAGCCATACGTGTAACTATTTATGGATTCAAGTAACCAAATTACATTTAGAAAGTCACCCGGAGATGTGAATCACTCTGAATACCATCCAGATGACACTCAGCCAAGCGGAACATTTTGGGGGCCAGAAAGAGGAAGACTCCTCCAGTCTGTGGGCCGCATCAGGCGTCCTCTATATTTGTGGGGAGGTAGTTTATTGATTTAACATCCGGCAGACTCACCGCGGACAAACAGAGCGAGGCCGCGCTGCCATCAGCCGGCAGTGTGTTTATCGTGCTGGTGTAGACGTGGAGTCCTGCACTTGTAAATACAATTAGTGCATCACATCCTGTTGGAGCAATGTAACGCTCTGGGTGCAGGAGATGTGAAACAGCCCTGTTGAAGGGTCAAACACGTGTCAATTTCAAGTCTCTTGGCTAAAAGTTGACACCAAAACGTAACATGACAGCTCACGAGGTGTTCTTTTTTAAATGCTCGTGTGAATGCACACTGTCCCCTTTCGTTCTCCTCTTTCCAGTCTGAATCTCATGTAATTTATGAATTTAAAATGGTCAAAATATGTGATGATATGGTATCGTCCCCATGGACATCACTTTGTCCAAAGAAGAGACAGAAATGAGGCTGCTAGAGACAGTGAGAGACGGACAAATACCGTCTCCTGGTCCGTGCAGGGCCGTGATCTTTAGCGTTGCCCAAACTGATTTAAATGTACAAGAAATAAGTACCTCAGGCTTGAGGCAAAGCGCTCTTACATCTAAACGGTGTATTGTTTTTGTTTCTGTTCCGCTATGTTCAATAAGCTGCATGTGGAACACTGGAAGAGGACTTAAGCACCGGGCACAGGATGGTTTCACATGTTATTATCATCAACATATTTAGGAATAGCACACTGCGCCAGTGCAAACTTTTCTTAGAAGTGAGCTCTTGGGAGTTTTGTTGATAATCCACACACATCTGCTTAGAAATGTCTCTTTCCTTGTGAACGCTAAATTAGGTAAATGAGTTCATCAAAACAGAGAAGAACACAAACACATCCACACAGAAATGCTGCTCGCTCATCGCCATGGTGACCCAGTGTGTTGGCACTTTAATAGCTGTGAAGCTCTAGTTAAATAGCTCACCTGTTTTTCTCATTACAGCTCCTCCTCACAAAAGCCCGCTCAGAGCTAATAACTCAGATCGCAGTGTGTGACGGAGAGATGCGGTGTCGTCTTTACGACGCGTCCCCGGGGGCCTGCGCTCCAGGGCCCCCCGGGCAGCGGGGCCGCGCGTATGAAGCCTTTTCCAGAGGAGCTCGGGAACATTCAATAATTTCCTCCCCGGATTAGAACCGAGGTCCTCCTGGTGCCCACAGCAAACCCGCTTTGTGGAGGGAAATAAACAATCAGCTTTCCAGGCCCGGAGGTGCTGCAGCATGAGCCATGGGGGGGGGGGGTGGGGGGGGGGTAATGAAGCCCTTCTTTATGATATAATATTCTACTGCCACACAGTCCGGCTTTAACAGAGCAAGGGGTGTTATTGGTGACCCAGGTGACATTGAGGGAGTGACAGTGGACTGTAAATGCCCCCCCCCCCCCCCTTACCCATGTTGACATCCGGTGTCTTCACCCTACTCGTCCCAGGCCAATCAGCAGAGCAAACAGCACTACTGTTTGTCCAGCCCTCCTGCGCCGCCTTCCCCCAAAGCTAATCCAGTCTGACGCCGCAGCGGCCCGAGTCCAGCCGGGGCCACCTGGCCGGAGCACTGTGAGCCCGGGCCGAGCGCCGCGCTAACCTCGGCACCAGGGTCACAAGTGCAGCACTAATTGCATTGCGTTATTTGCGCGGCGGGCTGCGAGTGCACAGTCTCTCTGTGGTTTGTTCTGCAAATTTACTCTGACCCCCATCAAACAGGCCCCTCCCCTCTCGCTCTTTGGCCGTGGTTAAAGTTCAGATTCTGAAATTCTGGTACGTTCATAATGAATGTAATTGTGTTATAGCCAACATAATTGTGCTGGCAACTCTGCTTTTTGTCAACGTCAAGTCAATGAAGTGCATTGGAGTTGAGGTGAGGGTTGAATTAAAGGTTTGTGTTGAGAGTTTGCGCTTTCTTGGCAAAACTCATAAATAGAATGAAAGAAACTGCATACCGATGTGCACCCCCCACAACTAATCCACGTGTGGGTGTGTGTGTGTGTGTGTGTGTGTGTGTACATACACAGGGAAGAGAAGGGAATGGTGAGCAGGTCTTGGAGCGGGTCGGCCATTAATCATAGGCGTAGGTGGTTTGGTCCAGCCTCACGTCTACACGGAAACCCAAATTGATCCCACTGTGTAGATCTTGGGGAAAAGGATAAAAGTGGCTTTGGGGGAATACACAAGTGAAATTCTTTGAATGGACATTTTCTCAATGGCTTTGTCCACGTGTTCTCATCCCAACTCGTCACATAATGACACTCACACCCGTCAAACTAGAACAGCTACAGTAACCACGTGTTTAGCGCTGTGAGAAACTACTTAGATAAAAAACATTGACGTAGCATAATTGTGCGGAAATTTCACTTTAAACTGGTTAAAGGTTTTTTTCTTGTATCAAACTGTCGAGTTTTATTGTATTTGCGTGAAAGGCCGTTACATGTCACGCAGGCGCAGGCCTCGCCAAGGAAGGCCGCGCCGAAGCACCAGTATTCGCCGACCTGGGAACAGCAGCCGGTTCTTTACGCGGTGATATTTTGCAGCCTCGTTTTGATGAACAGGTTGGGTTTTGGAACAGGGCTTCCTCACCTAAAAGATCCAGCATGTTGGCCGAGATGGACACAGTGCTGTATATCATGATTCCTGCTCCCCTCACTCATCTCTCATGGGGTGTGAAGCCTCGCAGAGCCGCACTTCAAAGCTTGGCTTGTTCATTGGATGGCCATAACTCTACAGGGCAGCAGGGCAGAGTCAGGTACTGAGCATACAGGTTTCAGGGGGGGGTGGTGTGTGTTGGGTGGAAGGGAGGGGCCTTGTGTACCCCCCTCCATCTCCAGATATCAAAGCGAACCCTGGCAGTGGGGGTCTCAGCCATCCCGGGCTCCTTTCCACACAGGAGACAAAGCAGCAAGCCGCGAGCCTGCATCGTATTAAACAAAGCCTAAATGCTTCAAGCTGTTACACACTCCCCAATGAAACCTCTGTGAACGGGCCCCTAATGCGATTTCAGAAACACCTTGTCATCGGCCCCTGGGGCAGCAGAAAGGAGAAGTGTGGATACATGAATGAATGGGCGCTCGGCGTTACGGAAGAATGGCTCTATGAGTGGAGGTGCCTATGGTTTTATTGCCCAATATGTACCTTTCACCAATATTGCCTGTTGTTCCGCCCACTTTAGAAACCTCTGCTAAATACAGGCCCGTATTCGACGCACCACCTGTGGCTGATAATGTTGAGCGGCCCTTTGGTTATTTCATATACGCTAGAGGAAAGTCTGCGTCTACGCACGTCGGGATGCTGCAACATGAACAAACTTGTAGCATCTAACTATTTTTCATAAGAAAGAAAACAATGCTGGTTCAGTTTGTCCTTTTAAGTAATATGAGTTTTTAAGAGGTTTTTATATAAAGGTGCATGTGCTTTTCATACTATAACTATTTCCACACTATATTCCTTCTTCCCTAGAACAGACTTGTGTGTCACATTTTCACAAACCAATGGGCAATAAAACAGACTTAACTTTTGTTTTGGAACTTGATGGCACCAGTACACTTGAGTTTAGTTTAGTTTTTGTTCAGAAAAAAATAAATGTCTTTTAGTTTTACCTCTGGTGAGCATTAACATTTACAAACCATGAAAACATGATAAAGTCCAATGAAAGAAGCAGCTGCGCTGTTGTGTTTGTGATGTTGGACTTTTTTTTTTGTCTATTCAGGCATCTATGAAAATATTTTATATTTTATTTTAAGTTACTTTCCCAATTATGGGCACTGCATAATGCTAATGAGTATGAAACTAGCATGTACCATTCAAGTAAGATGAAATGGTTATATTACCTAAGAAACCTTTCAATTCTGCACAATGAGAACCAGCAGCTGGCCCCCTTTCACTGCTTGGATCATCTTGAATCAATTTCTGACACACACACACACACACACACACACACGTGCATGTGCATGTATAGAAACACAGATGTACCCAATGCGTTTGATAATCAGGTGATTATGTATACTGTACATGAGTTTAAAGGCCCATCCACACACACATTCACCAGCAGAAATATGCCAGCACACGGGCCATTTCTTCAGATCCCGTCTCCAGGATCATTTGGGGTGAGCCCCGCAAGTGTCTGCAGAAGTGGAAGTCAAGGGTAAGCGATCCTGGCAGGCACATGGACCGCAGAATTCCACTCATCACGACCTCTAACAAATCATCCCTTCCATAACTTCTCTCGCACGTCCGTAACCATCCCCGTCGGATCAAAGGCGGAGGGAGTCGTCACGCCGACGTACATTTGGCCTCTTTCCTCCGTGAGCGTCCTCAGCCGATTCTTCTTTTCTTCCTCTCTCCAGACCTGTTCTTCATCCCTCAGCACCTCTCGGCCTAACTTCCTGTCCGGCGACCGGTGCTTTCGGTTTACGAGGTGCACGTGAAGGCAGAAGGTCGTGCACGCGACAAGGATGTGTTGTCACTGATGTGACAAGCGAGGGGATCTGGGCTTATTAGGACCCGGCCCGGACTCAATGTGGAGCTGCTTTTAAAGGTGTCAGACAAGACAGAGGTACGTCATCTGCCCCGCTGAGCTACGGCCTAAGCTCACCTTTGATCTGAGAGGCAGGTCATCGGCCTCTCTCTCTCTCTCTCTCACTTCATTCTGCGGTCTTTGCCTCTCCGTCTCCCGCTCCATTCATCTCTCTCGCGGGGTTCAAGCGAGAACCACAGAATCCGAGAATTCCTCTGTTCTCTAACAAGCGTTGGGTGGGATGAACATGAATCACTCGCTGACGTGCACAAAGAGCCCTCCAGCCGTAAAATCCCTCTAATGGGTTTCCCATCATTTCTATGATTTCACGGACTTTGTTCACCTTCATTTGGTCACGATCAGCAAATCGCGTCGCTGCGTCGAATCTGTTCTCCTCTCTGTTGCTGTCAGCTGTCAATTTAGGAGAAATCGCCCGGCCCTCCAGCCGCCATGTGCGGTGCCCAGGTTGAGTCCGTCCGACTCTCCTCCTTGCATTCATTACCTCAGCGTTCTCATAACTACCAGTGTGTCAACTCCACAGGGGGCGTTTCCTGTCGTACTTACGGCTTCGCCACCCGTTTGAGATACAGAATGTTAACAGCAGCACACTATTCGCCTTCTCATCACGTTGTGCGTATGTCAATTAAATATCCCTTCACCCAAATCAAAGTCCCTCCATATGGAGTCTCACTTCTAAATTGATATAAATGGAAAAAAGAGCAACTTTGAATGCTTGCTAGTTCCCAGGGGAATCACCGTTCCCCAGGGCACGGAGGCCTCCTGCAGCTGAGCCCGGGAGCAGGAGGTCAGAGGTCAGTGAAGGAAAGGGTGTGTGGGTGTTTGTGTGTGTTCTCTCACGTGTGCACGTTGCTCCTTTCATCCGAACGCGCTGCGCTTATTTCAGCAATACTTTCATATTTTCCTGTGAGAAACATTACCTGCTCTATAAAGATGGAGGCCAGTAGAATGTGACCACACGTTGGACCTGTACTGAGGCCCGCAGGTCGGAATCCACCGCGCTGGTACCGAGTAAAAGTAAAGTGACAGTCAGCATTACCAGGGGAACGCGAAACACTAAGCAGGCCGAGGTCTACTTTGGGCCGGGGGAGAATTAAAGGTCCCGGTACCAAGGCAGCACTCGTGGGCTTAAACAACGTTGTGCAACTGTGAAGTTCTGCTCCATTTACAGCAAGCGGTCTCCTCACACGGGTAGAGGCCCAGATACACGCTGGAGATACACGCAGTTTGATTATTTTCAGATACTCTTGTTTAACTAAAGTTTTCACTAGAGTGTGAATTTACTAAATTGCCTCCTAATAACGGGCAATTATTTGATAAAATCTGACTGACATTAACAGTTTACGCCTTGTCTCCTTAATAATCTTTTTAGGAACATCCTCCAATGATGTTGGTCAAAGGTTACATGTCTCATTAGAACATAAATAAATAATGTATTATGTTCATTTATTTCCATTTATTTTGTACAGCCCAACGCGGCGAAGGGCTTCACAATCTGAATAAACACGGCCTCCTGCGGTTTGTAGCGTATACGCATGGTTTCAAGGAAAGTACATTTGACTCAAGGAACATAAATCTTATACAAAAGATCACCATATTTTTGTGAGAAAGCCACAACTATACAGAAACACCAAATGTTCTCCAGGTCAGTCAGCTGATTTGGACAAAGTGTGCACAATGTGGATGAAGTCAGTCGGTAATGTGAGCCACCTGCGCTCTGTGGGGGATACATGACATGACAGATGAAGAGGTGGACCGCTGACAAAACGCATGGAGGAACCGTCCAGAGCTCCTCGGTTAGTTTAAGACTTTCCTGTTTCGCTTCCACATTATAAGAACTGTGGCAGCCGACGGATTTGATTCGATTAAGGATCAAGCAGATATATTTCCACAACTCCGCGTAAATCTCCCATGAGCGCACAGAGAAACATACAGTGCAATAATATTAGTATTTACTGTTTATGGACCAAGTAAAAGGCCCTGCAGACACAGCTGAGGTTTCCCTCAAAATGCATACGGGTAGCTCAAGGTTTTGGGACAATATTTTGTGGGAATAATATTAGTATAGACTCTAAACTTTCATACTAATTTCACCAAACCAAATATTAAAGATGATCACCACTAATTGAAGGTAAATATAATAAATCCAATAAAGTTTTAAAAGAGGTTTCACCAGAATTGTGTGTAATCGTTTATTTCATAATTTAATTAATTGTGTTTTCAATACCAGAATGAAGTCAAACCCATAATGAAATCCAATCAAACGAGCACTAAACGAGCGCCCTGCTTTAGTCACGTCCCAGAACACACACGCAACCGACGGGTCCCTCCTGCTCACAGCGGACCGGGACGCACTGACTCCCCCCCTCCCGCCCTACAAAGCCCTCCCCTTCCCCTCCCAGAACTATTTAGCATCTGAACCCGGGATAACGTTTCCAAACGAATTTAAAAGGGAAAAAACCTCCAGGCGCGAGGAGAAGCCTGCCAACACCAGGTTTGCGATCCAGCTTCTCCCGACGCGAGAGGCGCAGAGCGCGAGGCATCCACCAATCACCACCCTCATCTTCTCGGATACCCTCGCTTTCTCCCCCCCCCCCCTCCTGTTGCAACCACGGCTTCAAAGGTGGACGGCGCGTTTTCCGCTCTGTCCCTGACTTTCTTCAAGAAAGAAATGGAAGAGGGCTCCAGTTGTCCGGGCTCCCCCGTGGATAGTCTGGGGACCAGCGAGGAGGAGCTGGACCGGCAGCAGAAACGCTTCCCGGCCAAGAGGAGGCAGAGCAAGAAGTCCAGCGGGGACAGCAGCGGCAGCAGCCCGGGCCCGGTCAAGCGGGCCAAGAAGCCCAGTCCGAGCAGCAACCAGTCGTACGAGGAGCTGCAGAACCAGCGGTGCCTGGCCAACGTGCGCGAGAGGCAGCGCACGCAGTCTCTGAACGAGGCCTTCTCGTCGCTGCGCAAAATCATCCCCACGCTGCCCTCGGACAAACTGAGCAAGATACAGACGCTGAAGCTCGCCTCCAGGTACATCGACTTCCTGTGCCAGGTGCTGCAGAGCGACGAGATGGACAACAAGATGTCCAGCTGCAGCTACGTCGCGCACGAAAGACTGAGCTACGCGTTCTCCGTGTGGAGGATGGAGGGCGCGTGGTCCATGTCAGCATCCCACTAGCAGCCAGAGACCTTTGAGGCGACGCCAAAGCGGTGGGTACCACATACTGAAGGGAGGGGACATCTGTGGGGACGGACGAGGGGGCCCATCGTTTCATTCCTGAGATGGACGACGATATATTACGGGATCGCGATATGCGTGTGACGCTCACGGATTATTAAGCTGCACTGTGATCTTGGATAGATATTGAAATGATTAACAAAACGTGCGCAGTAGCCGTGACGTAAAAGCGTTCGAGGGGCACGTGCCGCTCAGTTAGGCCTCAGGACCCCCGCCGGGTCGACCCATTCCGCCCATCGGAAAAATGCATTTCCATTTGAAGTTGATTATTGATACATATACTATATATAGAATATTATTGTTTATTTATATACAAAACGACTGATTTTCTCGTGCCGCGCGCAATCGAGAATGCGCCTCGCGGACTAAAAAAATAAACACAACTGTTTTGTTTTCATTTTACGAGAAACGCTTTAAACGGATATTTGTTATTTCTGTAGCCAGTCCGCATTCAGACGCTCGTAACTGCAGGTAGAAATAAAATAAAAATACACGCGTCTGGGCTCCACCAACACGCAGCTGTATTGAGCCACGCGCCTCGTTTATTCCCACAATCACGCGCTTCGCTGTGCGCAGAGGAACAAGTCGAATACAGCGCGAGACAATAATTAAATACAGTACAAGAGGGCCGCACGCAGGACACCGAGCTGTTGGGATTTGGTCACTTTAAGCAGGTGGGAGCGGACTTTTGTTGGAGTTTGTTTTCACCTTCTCTTGGTAAAAGACACTGTGACGTAACGACCGAATATCCCGCGATTCTTTAGTCTGAGTCTCCGGATTGACAATTATTACAACGTTGTTACAAAATAAAAGCACAGGTTGGAGTAAAGCTGCTTCTTCTCGGGTGGCTTGAAAGAGTTCAAGCTGACGCTGACTGACACTTTGGGTTAGAATAACACGAGCCGGGGTTTGTTTATTGCTCGTGGGCCTGACAGAGCGCCCATCAGCGGGCCTTTGTTGTCCTGTAAACCGGCCCGGTTCCGTGTGGGAGGCCAACGAGCTTCATTACAGGGATTTGTGTAAGCACAGTAAATTAAAAGGGTTTTCAGCTGAATGGAATGTTACAGAAAAAAAAAACCGAAACATTGAAGCCTTTGTAACTTTGTATCTCAGAAACTCTCCTCTTCCTTCTCAAAATATGGGGCATGAAGTACCGTGTTCTCTAGGAATAAATTGTCTTAAATCATTTGGTTGCCAGGATTAAAATGGAAAAAGAAAATGAACATCAACATCCACGCGAAGATATTATTCATAAACATGTATAAAAAAAAGGCCTGTGAAAATATAATTAATTGTGACCATATTTAGTCTTTTTTTTATTTCTTTGACTTTGAACAATGTTGCTCTGAGGAAATCGATTTTATTGTTTCAGTTTGTCCACTAATCCACGGTGATTTTATTCAGGTGCATAAAAACCGTGTGCGTGTTTTCCTCTCTATTTAACTGCAGCTTAAGGGCCACATTTAAAATGCACCATTTTCCTGCTTCTCAGTCACCATGAGGTTTGACGCATTATTGATTCATTAATGACTTCCCACAAGCTATGCAAGTCAGTGAATGTAAAATAATAAAAAATAAATATTAGAAGAAAAAGAAAAATCAATAGATTATTATTATGATTATGCATCCAGTTAGTTTGCATTTAAATATTGATTATGTGTATCTCTTCTCTCCATTGCAGACTGTTTACTTCTACAAAGTATGAAAACCAAAGGAATTATTGAAGAACCCATCAACCTCAAAGGCCTGGCAGAGAGACGTAATGTGACCTACAAACGCTTTGGAAGTGTGTGTGTGTGTGTGTGTGTGTGCGTGTGTGGATGCAGATTCAACACACGCTTCTGACTCTGCAGCTGTTTGTTGCAGAGACAATATATATATATAAATATATATATTGTTTTTCAAAGACTTAAAACCAAAGTATAAATATATATAGAAGGAGGCATATTGTACATACCTGTGTAACTACGCCTGTAGTCTGTAAAGGGACCAATGCAATTTTGAGTCATTTGCTGCATGGATTTGTTTCACTGACTTTCTTTATTAAGTCTCCAAAAATCCGTCCGATGTACATTTTTTTGTTTTTGCTTATTTATTAAAACACATATTTTTGAACAAAATATGATTTACATTTAATTTTGTTGTATTCCCTCTGTAGATTTAAATCTGTTACAGTTAGTTTGGTCGATTCAAGTGAAATTTCTGCAGACATTTCATCCAACAAGACAATATTGAAAAAATGAATAAATATCTAGAGCAGATTTAAACAAAGTGTTTTGCTGGTTCAGGTTATGGTTGCTCGATTGAAAAGTGCATCGTAACATTTTCTTTTCACTGGGTGTGTAAATCTCCCCCTTTCTTTCTCCCCCTTCTCCTAGTTATGGAAAGAAAACACCGACTTAAAAAAAGAAGAAAAACGGTCATAAAATATACAGCTTCATTAGAAATATCAGCCAGTTTCAAACTCAGCCCTATAAAATGCTCGTCCGCTCGCATAACGAGTAATCATTTGAAATGCCGATGCCTTTGGGCTCTCTAACGAGCAGGGAGCCCCGACAACCACAGATAAGGACAATAACTCTCAGCCTGCCTTTAAATAATACTAATTGACAAAGAAAGCATGCAGGAAACTGAAGAGACGACTGAACACATTCCTTTGACTCTCTCGCTCCTAAAGCATTAAAGTTGTTTACATCTTGTTTCCCAGACATAGTTAGATGCAATCGGAACACTGAAAGGACCTCATTGTTAACGTGGGGCTCGCTGGTGTAAATGGCAGGCTGGCTCTGTGTTGCTGTTTCAGCTAAACTTTGCACCGTTGAGATCTTGACTTTCAAGTGGCACCCTTAAACAGCTTAATCGTTTTATCGCAAGCAAAACAAACACTAACTTTCACTTCAACTGTACTGAATCTATATTAAGATCTTAGATGGAAACAGGCCAGGAAATGCCAGTCAGACATTTCCCAGTGAGGAAACTGTTTCACAAAATGGTAAATGCCAATAAATGCTTCGTATTGCACCACGAGGATGCTATGAAATATGAAACAAAAGCTTAAAGGTTTGGGAAAATATTGTGTACATATGAGTGTTTTTCCGTTATGCGTGATTCTGTCTACAGGGTTCGAAGGAGAAACACCTGCGAGAAGATTGAACACTAACGCACCAAAGCTCCATTATTTATTAGTTAACAGCCACGCGGTTCACTCCTCCACCCTCTGATGCGATTTGTTCGGTGGATGGCGACCTGACAACAACTCATGTGTCCCTTTGCTTTTTATTACCAATCGTACGTGGTTAAAGGAGGCTCACTAGAGGGAAAATCAGCTGTTTTCATTCCAAGGCCATGGTTTTGAAATTGAGTGATGTATGTGACACGAAGACGTGTGTGACACTGGGATCTCTGTGACTGATTCTAGTTCACTGGTTCAGGTGCGACGTGGCCCTCCCTGCAGGAGGCCTGCATGCATTAAGCCAGCGATGCTCGGCGGTGAAGTTTACACGTGCTGATATTCTCTGCAGGATCACAGTTTTAAACATCGTTCACGTTGGCGTGTCAGGGATGCGGTTCGGCGCGGTGGTCTCGGATGCTGCTGGACTTCCCTCTCTACCCACGCCGGCTTATCCGTAGGAGCCCGTCTTAAACCTGCTCATTATCCCGGGTCCTCACAGCTGAGCAGCCCAGAATCACCCGGGGCCACTTCTCCAGCGGCGCGAGAGATCCAGATGTTTCCCGTAAAATCAGACGGAAAAAGCTACAAAACTTTATTTTGCAGTAAAAAGGGAATAAAGTGAAGGTTTACACTGTGTGTGCCTCAAACAGTATTCGGTTTTCGTCTGGTTCAGTAAAAAAAAAAAAAATTAAAAAAAAAAAAATCTAAGGTTAGCCTTACACCACATTCAACTTCCCCTGTGTGTGCGTGTATTTATGTGCGTGTGTGTGTGTGTGGGTTTGTTGGCAAAGCTGAAGGTCAGCTGTCTCACCACTGCCATTCACAAAGCATTACTCAGACTTACGTCTGACCATCCCTCTTCCCTTCTTTCTCTCATTGGGTGCTGTTGAGGATCTCCTGGTTAAACGGATCAAATGAGAGGCATTTAACCAACTAATATGTATTAATATTAATTTGCATAGGTCCCTTTTATTATTAACATTTTTAAATAAATAAAAAAACTAAAATAAAGTTGAAAGGATTGGATCCTGGCATATTCCATGTCATCTCAAATGAGTTATTATACTACGTACAGTTTATGTACGATCAGCCTTCATAATCAACATTTTTAGAATCAAGTGTTTGATTGTAAAAAACAACGTTATTTTACAGGTGCTGCGCTCACAGTACTACGCTGTATGGTAATGGTAAAAACAGCAGACATATTGAAGATGCCGCTGCTTGACGGACAAAGCGCAGCAGAGGAACCCGCGGAGCCTCGGCTGTCAAGGCCGCCTGGATGAAACATAAACAAATAATTGTTCTGGCCTTTTCTTCATTCCATCATCCAATCAAGAGCCCAAAGACTTTGATCCAGCTCTAGAGGGCCCCCTCTGCATAATCATTACACCTCAGACCCAGTGCACCCCCCATCCCGACTTCACGGGCACACACACGTCTACACATTCACTCCTGCATTTTGTCTGGTCCAGATGGGGCCTGTTATTGAGTGGAAAGAGAAGCAATAGTAACCTGAAAAGGACGAGGATTTAAATCAATCAGCTTCCAGTCACAAGCCTTCTCTTCTCGGCCAAAATATGGTCCACCTCAAAATAACCTTGGACAGGCTTCACATCACTTGGCCTTTGACACTGAGGCCCTCAAACTGGCTCCTTAGTGACGCCGTGAAAAGGGAACATCCTCGTGTCACGCGATGAGACACGGGGACAATAAATGTTATCGCCGCGTTGAGTGCTCACGCCTGCATCCGTATACCTTTCTCTTCATCCGAGGAGGAGTCCGCAATTTCCTCCGTTTCCAAAGCTTTTGACGCTCTCGTCTAAGTGTTCTTTATTTAAATGGCTGGATGCCACTGTGGGTGTCATCCTCTCGCTTCCAAAATATTTATTGCACAGCTCATCGGGGCTTCTTGTGGATCCATGACTTTGAAATTTGACAGGAAATGAAGTGTAAAAGTAGCCTATTGGGATGTTTTCCCTCTGAAGTGATGAGGATCACATGTCTGTGGTGCCGTTGGAAAAACAAACAAAAAAACAAAAAAGAACAACTGTGTCAAACTGTGAACTATCGGTCATCTCACATTGCCATTTGAGCACAGACGGAGCTGAAAGAAAAGAAACCTTGGAGGAGATCCAAGCCGTGAGATACCTTAGTGCTTCGCGGGGTATGATGGGTAGTAAAGTCAATTAAGGCCAAAACAAATAATGATAAAAATAAACAACGATGTATGAGGACAATACTGAGTGCTATCAGACGTCTGAAGACAACCTGTAGCTGAGCAGGTTTTGCATGGGAATGCATCTGTACTGCATCATTCTTTATGTGTAAGACTCTGCCCTTGGCTCTGACCATTGCAGTCCATCTTCTCCTCTGGCACCGTCTTCTGTCCATCTGGTCTCATCTGACACACACGGCCCAAGTGTGGACCAACTGCTGTGGACAACGTTGTATGGGTCCGTTATCCGTTCCAATCCTGAACGAATCAGCCTTTGTCGTCCTCCATGTAATCTTCTTCCAGCATTGTCTGGTGCTTTTAATACACGGCGGCTATGGCTAAGAGGGCGTCCCGTGGACTGAGGCGAGGGGTACCAACTGGTTGTTGCATCTCAGTATCCACAAAACGTGGGGAATCCATGACTTTGCCATTAACAATGTGAGCAGAAGAACAACTGCAGCTTTCTTCACCAGTTCAGATGAAGGGCGAGTCATCTTTACTCTCAGCCAGGAGAGTAAAGATGGAGGCGGGGCTACGGAGCAGCATCGAGGCGTCCTTTGACTTGCCACTGTCCATGTCTCTTCCCTACTTGGGTCCACGAGTCGGGAACAGTTCCAACCTCAAGCTGTGATACTTGATTCGTCTGCAGGCTGCCGAGGAGACAGGAGGCTGACAGGCCAACATTCCTCTCCTCCTTTGCTCGTCAGTAGCAGCAGTGATGAGCGTCGGGGTCAGCAGAGGTCAGTGGGTCACAGTGGCTCAGGAGCTGAGTCTTACCTTCTCACCTCCACTTTTTCTTAAAACTCCCGAAGATGAGGTGTTTTTTCACTTACATGTAATTTAAGCTAAAAAATTGAACAATTTACTCAAGGTACCTGTAGGACTGAGAAGGAGGGGAAATGGGATTGCCCCAAAGCCAGATCTGACCCATGAACGCAGGCTAAAGGCAGCAGACAGAGAAGGGACCGAGGGAAAGAAAAGGCAGGTCCCTCTCAAACTTTGATCCCTTTTATTACCATTAGAATTCCAGAGCTTTTAGTCCTTATGAAATTTCCACTTCATGACAGCTGAGTAAATGCTGATGAAAACCATGTGATGCTTTTATCGGTACACGTGACTGGATGCAATTAAAACAAAAAATGAAAAAGCTGGTCTCGTACAAGGAATGATGTCTTGTCAGAACCATCCAACTAATTTCGCTTTGTATAAATTATAAAAAGGAATTGCTGAATAATACAAAAAAGATATTATTTCCTCCGGTCGTGATCTGGCCTTCTCACCATGTGACAGGTTGCCCATGACTATTAACTCAACGGTAGTACTGTCCTTTCCATGCTCCGTCCTCCATCTTTAGGAAGAACTGTCTGCAGCACGTGTGTGAACTTTGACCCCGGCCTCAGTGTTTGCAACGGCCCTTTTGATGTCCACGCACGCTCTGCACCAGACTAAACACCTACAGTAGCAAGACAAGCAAACACACTATGGATCAGAGGTGCCGACTGGGCCGGTGCAACGTCTGATGGAAATAATAGCAAATGGTCGCAGCATTTTTCCGGTTTCCAAATCCATCCTTGGAATAAAGAGGAATTGTTGGGAAAACTACACACGGACTAAAAAGAACTTGCAGCGTTTCTTCCTCCAATATTTTTTGTGGACTTTACTTGACTGGGCCACCCTGAGGATCCCCCTAAAACTATTCTAATGACTTGTCTGTAATTAGTGTTATTTGTCATCTGAGCAGCTGGCCAAAGCCTCATTGCCATTTTGAGGCAGTCCAACCTGCAATTAAAAAGAGCGGTGATGAGCACAGCTGGGAAGACGAGGTCTTTTTTTACGCATTCGGGTTGCTGGGTAATGACAAGCTAGCTGACAACGGTCGGCGCTCCAAGAAGAGGAGCAAGCATCAGAGCTGCCGCACACCAGAATGTCACTGTGTGGACACGAGAGGGAAAATAGATAGGGAGGTTTTCCAGATCTCAATCCTTCGTGACATTTCAGTCCTTTGTTGTGGGCGAGAAGCGGCCATCTTGCAAGCTGGCCTTTGGAAAGGGGGGAAAGTTCAGGGCTCCGCCTTTCCTCTGACCCGACCTGGCCGAGGGGTCGCAGGGGTTACGTGTCGCTACACAGATGACGGACGCGTCGTCACTTACGGTGAGCTAAAGGTGAGACAGGCAGTCTGCGTGTCACGAGCGCGGTCGTTAGCGCATCCCAAAGCCACTCGTGGACCATGAAGGGGTCAAATTCCCAACTTTAACATCATCCCCTTCCCTTTCTGGGAGCCATCAGAGCCCTTTTTGGCAACAGCATGATGGCAAATATTGTTTTGCATGTCTGTGTTTGACCTCATTCTCTTAAGCAGAGATGTGCTCCTTCTTCGTTTGCCTCCGACACAGCGTGGTGTCTCAGGCCCCTGTGATTTACAGAGACCGGGTCAGCGTACAAAGCCTGAGGCACTGGTACTATTTACACTGTCACTCTCTAAATTCAAAGTTTGACAGGGAAGCAGTGGAATGTGTGTTTATTTGAGGGGAGGCAAGGCAGGATTGGTTTTGTTTGCCTTTGCACTGTTGTCTTAGCGTTAGTTCCACCACCATCAGGGATTCACGCTTGTTTATTTGGACGCTAGCTCAGACCTTTGACCTTTCCAAATGGGGGGGCTGATCCTAGCCAAAGCTACTGTGGGGCCCTTTGGATGCAGTTCCTGCAATGCCGCCTCCGTCTGGATTTAAAGGGGAACTGCATGCAACTAAGTCAAAGCCTTGAGCAACTTGAGCTACATGAGGCTAACGGCTAAAGGCGACTGTAACAGGTTAAGTTTTAACGTCGCTACTCGAAAACCTCATGAACTCAAGATACTGTCGGGAACGTCTGTGTTCTACTTTTCATCAAAGTAATGTTGGTGTCACAACAGTGACAGAAACAGAAAGAGTAAAATGTTGCATCAGTCCACGCATACGGAGAGTATGGAAAAGCAATCTGGCGGTATTTCAATTCAAGACCTCTGATTGGACACAGAGGATTCCGGAAGCACCCGGAAAGAGCTCCTAGTGGAAATTGAGCCCAGGTCTCAAGAAAAGATTTAACCACTAGACTATGCCACAAAACTAGCATAGATGAAGTACACAGACATTTAAATTGAAAACAAAACACACTTTTTAAATAAATAGAAAGGACTAGATTTATGGAGTTGTGCTTGTATGCGACGTCTCTTTGTCCTTTGGCAGGCAGAGAGGGATCCTCATTGACTGTAACAACTGCCATGGTGCTGCCAGGGTTCTGATTGGAGCAATTTGAGTTGGGATGCTTCCGCCTTGATTTCATTGCCCCCCTTCATCCCCTACATTAGCTGCTACAAGTAAAACAAATCCGAATGTATCTGCAGTCAATATGCATTATGCTAAATGTATATGATATGCTTTGACAAAGAAGAACATGAGGAGTATAAAGACATCTTTGGTTGGTTTCTTCAGGTCAGCGGCATTGGTTTTCATCGACACCACCCTTCATGACTCACACTGAACGCGCATTCGTCTTTGAAATCAACCACCAGCATCAACATTGTCGTTATAAAAAACAGACATTGCAGTTTTTCCAAAACAATACTTTATACTGTACATGTCAAAGACAACATGTTAGAGCAAAGGTTCCCGAGAACAATGTACTATTTCTGTAACAAGTCAAAAACTAATTGAAAAAAAAAGGAATATGCATCTTATACATATGTAAACCTAGAACTGATTGTTTTGGAACCACAGTGGTCATAGCAATAACTGGCTTATTTAGTGGAATGGAAAACCGTAACAATGACCAGGCACCTGGATGGAGTCCTTTGATAAGTTCAGATGTGACAAAAAACAAAGACGTCTTCCCAAAAGTCCACCACAAGTCACATCTTGCCCAGTTAAAAAAACAAAATCCATTCTGTTGTAGCAGTTTACAAAGCGTCCCCCTAAAATAATTCTACATAAATACAATCAAATCTATTGTTTGTGTTACAAGTGCTAGATACTTTTTTTTTTTTACATTTGACTTTTTTTGTAAAATATTCAACAAAGGTCTTGCAGGTTCTGTAGTTCCATATCCTAAAGGTATAAGCACAACATGGAAATAACCCAAATTCATCCCAAGCAGAAACAAAGTAGCAGTAAAGGAGATAAGACGGTTTGGATACAGTGAAAGTACTAACGTCCTTCAGTGCTTCATCCCTTGTGCTGATATGTGGTATGGGACGGACAGACAGGCAGACAGGTACGTAGGCAGGCAGTGCATGCGGACATACAGACCATGCGGAGAGAAAAGAGGAATGGAGTGGACGCCGAAAACAACATAAAGGAACGTTGCAGATTTTGTATTTATTTTCTGTTACTGGACATTGTGTTAAGACTGAGTGAAGCTGGCCGGACAGGACGAGTTTTGGCTCCTGAACCAAAACATTCAGCAAAAGAAACCCCACAACTGGCACTGCTGCTCAATGGATCTGGGAATGTTCTGGGACTGTGTTACTGAAAAGCATCTGACCAAGAGTGTTTGTATTTGAGGCTGTCCAAGTGAAGGTACTATTCAGGGTAGCCTGACTATTTGCTTTTTCACATTCCAACCACAAATACGTTCTTCAGCATCTAGTATCAAGACAATGCAAATGAGGTCCTGGGCACCAAACAACAAGAAATACCAGAGAAAGTGGTGTTTGTGTAGGTGTCTGATATAATGTACAGTAGAACCATACTAATAAATATGGGCTGCATGATAACGCCCCTCTGCAAATGTCTAGACCTCAGTTATCTCATTGGAGAATCAACTTTGTGGCAAACAATTTACTGCAAGCAATGATTCACTACTTTTCACTACTCTACCTTTGCTTTTCTTGAGTACATTTACAGAATAGCAGACGAGTGAGTGGATATTGTTAGAGACACTGGTCCTTGCGCAGGCGAAGGGTTGCAGTTCTGTGAGGACAGAGAAGACGGAACCTTTGGCATTACTGAACTAAAGAACAAGATTACACATGTGAACTGCACAAATTTAAGGAATGTTGAATTCAATTAAATCTTTTGTCCAGATAAGGAAATAAGTGATGATCATTTGAAGTCATTTGTGAGGCCCATTAGGGTGATTTAAGGTAGGGGGATAGCATGGCCATATTCCAATTCAAATACACCTATCTCATTTTTCTTTTTGGGTCGGAGGTTGAACTTGTAAACCTTGAGGAAGAAACCGCCTTTGGACACTTATAGATGCATACTTTCAATTTCAGTCTCACATTTCTTAAAAATACTGAAACTTTGTAAGTGGTAGTGAGAATGTGTTTTCGTACAAAAAATATATCTACACACATAAACGTAAGAAAAAGTGGAATAATAGGAATATGTGCCTGAATGTGAGGCCGAGCGGACAGTGTGCTGTAACAGTGTTATGGTACCAACGGGATGGATGAAGCCAAAAACTAGTCATCAGTGTTCAAAGTCAAAAGGACAACCAGTAAAACTACTAAACATGTAACCAACTGTAGCAAAGGACAGTAAATGGAGCCTGAAAAAGGGCCGACTGACTGCACGGCCCATGAAAAGGATCATTTTTCAATACCAACTTCAAAAACAAGACCATAGGATTTCATTATGTATATATAGATATATATATATATAATATACTCATTTCTTTTCATATATAAATCTACTATGAACAGACAGTAAATACACAATTGTCCATCATTATACAAAGTAGAAACATTTGTACCCCAACCATCCCACACAAACTAAGCCACGTAATGTCCACTAAGTATGTGAGCTTTACACTGTAACAAACAGACGGAGAGAAGAGGGCAACGTGAACAAAACGGCATTGAAAGGTACAAAAAGAACACACGAGTCCAAAGTGCGGCAAAAAAAACAAAGGAAGAAAAAGAAATAAAATCAACAAGAGCAGAGTAGTCATAGACAAACGCGTGTGGCAGGAATACTGCGGATATTGATGTCCTATGTACAGTAAACACCAGTAAACCCCACAGCACTCCGCCTCCTCTCACCAGGAGAAACACACTCAGCATGATTAGCTCGTAGAGGAAACAATGCTGAGCGAAGTTGGAGAGGTGGTTACAGCCTTCAGCACCAGCTTGGACATGTATTGTTTAAAACGGAAGGGAGCGTGTATTCACGGCTCGGTTGGTGGCTGGTGTGCTGTGTGGCCAGCAGGGTTCTGCTATGGGAGGTAATGCTCAATGTTTGAGGAACAAGTTCTGCATTTATTGAAATACTCTTTACAGGCCAGCGGGGGGAGAAAAAAAGATTTTTATATTGTAGATTTGATAGAATGGGCGGAAGGATTCAGCATCTGAATCTGAGCTACACGTGCTTTCCAAAGTTCCGTGTTTATTCCCTATGGGCTTTTTCCCACTGGTCAAGAGAATTGGAAAAGGTTAATACAAAAATAAAGTACTAAAAAAATATGCGTCTATGCAAGTATGTTTAGAAAGAGCAGCTTGTGCTCGGCTGTATTGGAACAGATGTACACACACCTGCCTCATAATGCCTGACATTTGGGGAGCAGATGTGTGGGGACTAAAGATGTTAAACCAGCTGTGGGAGCCTGTGCAGCCCCCCCCCCCCTCTGGAATATCCCAGGTGGTTTTGTCATTGTTGCCACAGGGACACAGTTGTTTTAAAGCGAGGGCTGCTTCCAACCATAGGCCCATATGAGGTAATAGTTATTCCTCTCGATTCTTCATTAAGCTGCAGGAAGTCACACTGATTCTAACAGGATGATCCTTTTCAGCGCATGGCACCTAACAGCTGATCCCAGTCTCATTGGGCCAGTTGCCAAGGAGACCCCAATGAACCTGTGGACATTAGACTGATTAACTGTTCAATTCATTGTGAGATTTGCAGTAATCTCCGTAGATTGCAGGAACATTAACGGGACCCGCACAGGGGGAGTCGTCCCAACATGTATCTAAGGTGCAGCTGGTCCTCTGAGACGTTTCCTCTGGCTTCGGGGACCGAAACTGATACATGCTTCAACTCAGTAATACTAGTTAAACCTGGAACTTGCTTTGAAACGGAACCACCTCCAACTCGCGGACATTATATTATTTAAAAGAAGGAAATGTGGAGGTACATGGAGACAGCAGGCTGCTTACAGGGAATTACAGGTTAACATGCAAAGGTACTCCAGTCTATGTGCCAAAACATGCAGGCGTTGAAGGTCTTGCCAGGGGAGAAATGTTTAAGGGGTCGGGGAGAAGAGGCCTTGTTCCAAAACCTGTTTTTTAAGGCGTAGCTCTTTCAGTAGAGTTAAACAGAAGATCCACCAGGTTGAAAAAAAAAAAAAGGCACGGACGCGCAGACTTTCACTGTCATTTTGGAATCATAACACCTGCTGGAAACCACCTCTGCAAACTGCATCAAATGCTTCTTCCATTCGTTCGGACATCTTGAAAAAGCAGGGCTGATTCCTCCACGATGAGTCACAATCACAAAAGCTCTGGTGGTTTTATGATGAAAAGGTGTGAAGGTGACGATAAAGCGCAGAAAGAACAGAACGATAAGAAAAGTAGATGTCGACGGATAGTTCCTTATTTGCATTTGAAAAGTACACCGTGTGTAGTGTTTTTAAAAGCACTGGCACTCGAGGTCGTCGTTGTGGCGTGGTTGAGTTGTTCCTCTTACATCCAGGGTCTTGAAGAGGCAATGCAACACCTGCACGCTGATCAGTCCGTGCACTGCCGATCAGCGAACGCTCGTCCGCAGTGGTCCGGTCTTCCAAGCACCACCTCCAAGCGCTCTCCCCCCCACAATAATGGGCCTCATCTATGTGAGGCGGGGGGTGAGACGCGGCAGTACCATTTCTATCGACACTGTCTGGGTGAGGACACTGTCAAATATGAAGCGCAAAGACAATGTTCCTTTACATGGTAGCTTCCTCTTCCATGGGTTCCTCTTCAGCCCTGGAGAAACAGAGACTAATGTAAGGACTGCACCATTAAGACCAGCCAACCGCCAACACAACCCGCAAATCCACTAGAATATCTGCTGCGGCTAGAAAGGTCAAAGAGAGACTGAGCCTCATTATTGCAACATTCTGACATTTATTTTTCCTGATAAAAGTAAGGCAGCGTACGAGCTCTTTTCCACCGGAAATGTCGAACTGCTCCTTTGAACGTACACGGAGGTCGTCGAGAACTACGACAATCATTGCGTACCTCTTTCCAACGAGCTTGTTGGCGACGGACAGCGAGGCCATGGCGGACACGGTCTCGGCCTCCTCGGCGTCCCGCCGCAGGGCTTCGCTCAGCGAGCAGCCCAGTGTGGAGGCGGAGCGCTGCAGCGAGCGCCAGTATTTATCTGCAAGCGCAGAGACACTTCATCAGTGTGCTGCTCCGGCTTTCGCGCGTGGAATCTTAACAAATGTAATATCTACTAATGCTACGAATATAAAGTGACTCATCCAACTCAAACCTTAATGATAGATCATTTAATTAAAAAATAACGCCTGAAAAAATGGATGGACTCTGTCAATAGATCCACTCACTGTGTATTTCAAGAACCTTCTCCATAGAGCGGACAGCGTTGGCATTTGGTATCTGTTGCAGCACCTCTTCAGGAATGGGGTCCAACTGAAAGAAAATATATACAAATAATTAGCACCTTGTGGTTGTAGCCTTTGTGTTGCATGTACGTCACTTCATCATTCTATAGGACCTCGGTGTAGAATGTTCACAATCAGCAAATGGATCCTTATGGTACGGCCAGAGACGTGTTTCGTGAGGTCACAGTGACCTTTGACCACCAAATCACAATCAATCCTTGCGTCCAAGTGAAAGCTTGTGAAAAAAAGAAATGTCCTAAAAGTGTTTCTGATGTTTAGAAGAACCCCAAAACATGTCTGTCACAAGCCCATAACAAAAACACTTTTTGAACCTTTCTCACTTTTTCCAAGTGTAGATTTTACACGAGTCACACCTTTGCGCATATTTGAGACACTGATCCATGTCAAGAGAAATGGCAGTGCACCCATATCTACTGGGAACAAAAGATAAACACATTAAATGTATTCCCCCCCCCCCAATATTAGTATGGGCGGAATGCATATTTTCATGAATGTGACTGACAGGTGTTCAGAAGCTCTGCTCCAAATCCCTCCAAGATGCGCGAGCTGGGATGAGTGGGAGGAGCACCGAGCGCATTGCTGCTCTTTGACACAAACTACAATGTGTGCTTTGTGCTGTGTCTCTCTCTGAGGACGCACGCTCGGGTAACAGATGCGTGCAGGAGGAAACCTGCTTGCTCACGCAAACGTACGTGCATACTCATGCACACGCCTCAGGAAACGCCGCTAAGCCTACGAAACTCTCCGAGCCACAGTTCAGAGGGAACGGGGCTGTTCTCCATCGGAATGATTCCATTTCCCCTTTGGCTGATCGCACATACGACACTTTCTCATCCCGTTACGTCAAACAGGCCCATCCAGCTCCACATTCCCACACATACGAGGAGCATCCTTCCTCTGCTTAATCACAACCCCAACCGCATGAAAGACCAGCTGAGAAACATGTACTGAGAGACAGAGGAAAAGAAGAGAAAACAGTTTGGCCAAATATTTGGGAGTAAAGCACCTGAGAGAAAAGGGAAAAGCCAACGCCAGTACGCCTTGCTCGGCCAAGGTTGGAAGTTTTCTTTTAATTAAAACAAACAGTGTGTGGGAGGGGTCAGCGCGGGCGGAATCAAGAGGCAGTCTGGGGAGAGGGATACTTTAATCCTGCAGTGGCACGACAGGCCGCATTATGCATAGAGGAGTGGACAGAGACACACTTCTATTCAAAGTGGCTTATTTGCTTTTTGGTTGACACTCTCATCCAAATCAACTGAGAAAGATTTCAGTGCAGCGGGCTCGATTGAGCCTTTGCTAAGCCCCGCCCCTCTGCTACTCCCCATAGAGATAATAATTGTATAATAATTGAGATGTGAAGGCAAATCAATGTCAAAATCCGATCAAATCAGGTCCATGCGCTAATGTCGCTCTCAAACAAGCTTGAAACTTGAACCTCATCGCCTCATTTTCTTTTTCACATTAGGGGGCGGACCCAGTCACCACGGTATCTCTTCACCTAATTGATTACAAACCACGTCTTTAGCTTGGCTGGCTTCCATCTCTGTTGAGAGTTATGCATTCCCAGAACTATGGAAAACAACACCCTCGCAAGTGAGGATTTCAAATTTCGTGAGCAAGCAAATCACTTGCGCGAGAAGAACTTTTGCTCGCTGGAGACGGACTTTTGCTCGTGAAAATATGATTTGCACGCACATAGATCTGATTTGCACTGCGATTTTGACATTGATTTGCCTTCATATTGACAAAAAAACGTAGCCACCAGAGTCTACGACAGGAGTGTCCAAGTAAATATCACGGAATTAGACAAAAGCTAAAGCTTCACACCACTGAATTAAAATGAGACAGCGGACAATGTAATAATTAAAGAACAACGCTGTTGCTGTCACACTGACAGGTTTTTATTTACTTTAGCTAGCACTAGCATATAAGTGAATAATGTGCTAACGTACTCTGCGGTTGTTTTCTGCAGAAACATAATGCTTTTTGGTCAATGCATCACTATCAAACAAAGTTTACTCTAGAACTATTTTGCAAGTGGTTTGGAGCTCGTCCAATCGGGCTGAGGCTCGGCTACGATTGGGCAGTCTGCGTTCGTAGGCGGGACTTAGCTGTGTAGTTCAATAGTTTATCCATGCAATTACTCAAACCCAGACTCATTTTTTCTCATTGCGACAGATACGATCAGCCCTCAAGAACCCGCCCTGCTTTTCTATTAACGAAAATGGGAGCGTATGTTGGTACACACCATGAGTAGTCCTGATATCTAACATGTGGGCTTTATCAAAACAAGACAGGTCAAATACCAATGGTGCTCTATACTGCTCTACACCTGTCTGGAAGCCATTAGTTGGATTCCATTGGCTTGGGCATTCGGTTTGATGTCATATGACGAAGCGCTTGCTTTGTCCAGCATCACCCACTTTTTCTATAAAGCACTGGAAGCTTAACCGACCATTTTAACTGAATATAACCGGAGTGACTTTTTAGTGTCATGCTGTATTCAAAGTGCGGAGGCTTCTGGCAAGCGCCATCAACCCGCCAGGGGATGCAGAGGAAAATTAGCTTGCATATTGACTTGGCTCAGAATCCAGGGCAGGCAAAAAGTTGCCAGAAGAAATTGATCGAGGAAACGGCTGCAAGCGAACACGCCTGGTGCATAACTGATCAATCTGCTGTTTGCCTCAAGATCGTGGGGCTTCGCGGCCATCGAGTGCTCCACAGCTACACTGAAGCTGCTCAGAGCTGCTCAGCGTTGTCGGCTATGGAGCTCATCATCTGGAGAACCTGGTCGGTTCAGCCCGTCCACGTTACTCTGAGCGGGGCTGAGTTGGGAGACGCTGAGGTTTTTTTATCAGCTCCCCGTCGGGGAGGGGTCAGGGGTTCTCTGGGGTTTCTTCGGAGAGCCGGGTTGGAGGAGGGAAGGGTGGGGGCAGCCTGTCAGCTTGATTGACAGCTGGGCCTCATGCTTATAAACTTTAATGGCTCTTGTCAGGACACTCCAGGGGCCCCCGCATGACAGGTATGGCAAACAGACAGACACGCATTTGCACTACAAGCACGCATTTGTCTGCCACATCATCCATGGCGACGTTTCTGTTTATTTGAGTTTGTGGCGGAGGCTGGGCCTGCGCCTCTGCATCTCCACATCAGCAGAGGTCCTTGAGAGCTGCAGAGAGTAATGCCCTTTAAAAGGGGTCCGCGGCCACCGTCTTGATTTATTTCTGAGGAAGTCCATTTCTCTGTGTGACACGGCCGCCCAATGCAGCAGACCAGGCAGGATGGAAAGCCATGAGCCAAGAGTGAGGATGTGACCCGGTGAAAACATTCCAGAAAGGAGGCTATAACCAAAACAGAAGAACAGAAGAGGAAATCCACTTGTTCAGCAAAAGAAAGTGCACAAGGCACCCATTGTTTACTGTTGTGTCCATCTGCATGGGCTGGCAGTCAATAAAAAACGGTTGATTATGTTATGCTAAATGAACACTTTCTGTTGTGTCTTAGCTCTTTGTTGTTCTATTTTTATTAAAATAATTTGTATTTTCTTTGTGGGTACAAGTAGTAACATTTTTTTTCCCCTTTTATACATGTTCGAAAAATAAATTCATAAAGTTAAGTTAAAAGTTAAAGTCAAACATAGTAACGATGTGCTTTGTGCAAAGCGGGCGACCTTTTTGGAAAATAGGTGTGGGCGTTGCATCGTAGCCGGGTGCTGGTGGTGAACGCTCGGGCCCCGGGGGGGGGGGGGGGGGGGGGCGGGGAACTCCAGCGGCTTACTGTATCTGGAGGGTAAAAAGAAAGGGGAACCCCCCTGGAAGCGTGGAGCAAATAGGAAATTAGCCCGGTGTTTAATAAAAAAATTGTTAAAAACCGGGTCTCGAAACGGGGCAAAATCTTGTTGCGGACAATCATTCATATAGCCCGAGGTCCAAAGTGACTGGGGTAGTTGCCCAATGCATCATTCATGAGCTATTTAACTAAAAAAGAACTTCACTATTACGCACTGTGGCGGTGGGGGTAAATTAAAGAGCCTGTAAAGTCCATTCAGCAATTTCCATCCCTCTCTTTCCCAGCTAATTTGAGCTGCTTTCAAAGGAAACCTAATGCTCATTATGACAAAGCTTGTATTAACCTGCTAATAAAAGCAGATATATATCCGTCACACTAGCAAGCAGTAAAACGCTGGAGGTACAGAGACGGTGAAGAGGCTACAAGGAAGACCTTTAGGAAGTTTTGACCCAATGTAAAGGTTGCCACTGCACTGGAGAAAAATATATCATACCCCATTCCAAACTGGTGGAATAAATGGCAATAATTACCGACATTTACAGTATATTTCAAGACACATTTCGTAGTTTAAGCGACATATATGCTACGTTCATGACGTCCAGACAATACAAACCCTCGGGGAGTTTTGAAGTTCTATAAACAAAAGCACAGCTGACCAGCTAATCCAGCTGTGGTCCCATGCCTGAGCCTACTCATCCGCTCCATTCACAGTCAGCCAACACACACACACACACACACACACACACACACACACACACACACACACAGACACACACACACACACACACACACACACACACGCACAAACTCAAATACATCTTCTAGAAATAAGCCGCCCAGTGGACACATTCAGAGAAGTCTATCATTCATTCGACTGTTCGGACAGATTTAAAGACTTGTTGGTCAACCTGGTGGTGATGCTGCAAAGAGCTTAAATTTGATTTATTGTGATATCTTCTGTTTCTCATTCCGATTTCATTCGCCATCTGAGGCCATAGCGGACATTGTCAGCAAATAAGAAAAAGAAAGAAATTCTAGAAAAAACGCCTGGCCTTTTATCTCCCTCCAGCTCAATCCTTCACTGACGTTTTCCAGCTACATTCCAAGTCCATTACAGAGACCTTCGCTGAGATTATGATAAAAACACTTGCTTCCTGCCAGTTTGATCTGATCGGGGTCATTTTAGCCTCTTTTCTCCCCCTTTGCTATCGGTTATCAAAGCTCCACACAACTGAACGATCTGCCTTTGTTCAAGCGGCTGACATCACTCGCTGCCAAATAGCCAACCGGCAAAAGTCATGGGAACGTTATGCCTTCACTTCAAGTCAACGACGTCGTAATTTGCCTCGTTTGTCGCCTTATCGAAGTCATCTCGGGGGGGGCACTGCACAACTCTTACTCCAATGCTTCCGTCATGATGACTTTCATTGTTTCTTTTTTAAATTCACACCTATAATATGTAAAATGATCCGTATCCGGAATCCTTTGTACGATTAAGAATTCCTTCCTTTGCAGACTTTGAAGACCTGCATAGGTACGGTTCTGTGTGAGTCTGCTTCATAACAATAGCTCCATCCCTTCCTACTTCAAATGATTACTCCATTTCCCTTTCATTATCTGATCCCTGGGCCCAGGCTGACCCCGCTGGAAGAGGTGTGAGGGTAACCATTTTCAGATGTGTACCAGTGAGGGGGCCCCGGGTGAGAGGGGCGTCCCGCAGGGCGGATTCAATTGACGCTCCCTGCCTCCTGCCTATTTTCACATTTTCAGCTCCCTGTGGCACCCATCCAGTGACCTCCTCCAAACCCCCGCTGAGGCCGGCGCTCCGCAGGCTGAAACCCAAGAAGCAAACCCCTCGGTCCAATTCATTATTTTTGCAGCAGGGCGGTGCTGTGAGTAACGAGAGCGTCCTTCAAGTCCTGAGTACTAACCTCCGTGACAGCTAAAAGCATCCGCCCTGCCCAAGTGTCCTTGAATTCCCGAATCCTTACCAGCTGTAATGGCAGTGTTACCCTACGACTTAAGAGTCACTGGTGGGCACAGTGCGAGTAAACACAAGTAATAAGAGCTAATGCGGGACCGTGCCCCAGCAGAGCCGTTGTGTGTTGTGTGCCTGCTTTGGCACGTAGCAGTGCTTTCTTCTTCACGTTCAAGGGTTAATAACATTTCCTCGTGTTCCGCACTGCTTTATTGCTGGTTAATCTGTCTGCAGCGGTATGTGCCTTCATGTTCCACACAGCAGAGGGGCTGGTTGGTCGCAGTGAGTTTTTATTAATGTGTTCTCATGTTATTGTTCTGTTTGTTTAGCTCTGACTCCAAGATCTACATGGAACGAGGCCATGCAGTTGTTTTTCTTTCTTTTTTTTACGATTCCAAAAACTCCTTTATAGCTCTTGCTGTCTGCAGGGCTGGAACAAGACGCCCAGGAATGGAAACAAGGCTGACACAAATGCAGAGCTAATCATATGAGCTCAAACGCAATCGATGACTCGTATCAACCAACCAGGATTGGTTGGTTTTGAATTAAAGGCTGACGTGAGGTAAACTTTGTCTGATATGTTTTGATGAACTGCTTACTTCTGAATTACCTTTACGACACTGCGTCAACACACCCAGCGACAACCTTTAATCATCCCGATACACCATCCACTGTCTTTCATGTTTCCACACCAGTTCATTATTACTCCATATTAATGTGTCCAGAATGAGGTCCAACGTTTCGCAGTGTGTGTGTGTGTGTGCCGAATGAGTGTGACCCATGTGCATTAGTGAGGCTGTTCTCACAGAGTGAATGATGATGGCTTTAGCAGCTACAGTAGCCTACGTGTGAAGTTTGCATCCGTCATTCACAATTAATTGTCTTAAATTGGACGACACATGAAGGTTTTGTAAAAGCCCCCGAGAATAAAAAGCACATCTTGTGGGATCGCATAAACCATAATAAATAAAGTTGGGAATGTAATCCTAACATCAGCACTTCCCTCCGTCCCTCGTTATTTAGGTGCCCTCACTTACACTTGCCCTGTCTTGTGCGTTATTGCCAAGCTCTCCAGCGGATGCTGTTGTTGTTCCTGCTCTACCTGTTCCCGCCTGACTACTCGACCTGGGATTTTGGCGGGTTGGCATCTTTGGTCGAGGACATCGCTACAAATCACAACGAGCAAGCTGAGAGATCCAGTCACAGACACGCGTCAGACTGCACAGATGATCCCCCAAAATATGCAGCTCGATAGAAAGTTCACATTCACACCTTCTTCCTCCTCTAAAGGTGTATAATCCTTCAGCACGACGACTCAGTTGTGCTTAATAAATGCACTGGGATATCATGGACGCATAATTTGGGGGGGGAGGACTGAGCAGCTTGTCCAAAAAAGCACTCCAGCCTCTCTATTAGCTGGAAGAGGAAGAGGAGGCGGGTGTGATTGTGTGAGGAGTTGCTATCCTGTTGTGCGCCATGAATCACAGAGCAACGATGTTTGTTCAGTTCCTCGGCCTAACCTACACACTCCCACTATTAACCTTCTGCTTGGAAATCACCTCCCTCTCATGTGTTTGTGCGTGTGTGTGAGAGAGAGAGAGTGTGTGTGTGTTGCTTTGACTTCCTCACTGGACGGAAGGAGAACTTTTGTTCTCCTCCTCTACGTAAAAGTGTTAAGTATTTTAAGTGCATCGGGTGTATCGCGTGTAAAGGCCACGCGATACACCTGATGCACTTGTTTGGCAGCTGAAGTCGTTCTTTAAGAGTTCATTCAAGGGCAGAATTTGATTTGACTATCTTGTGAGTTACCTAGTCAGTGGACGCAAATCTCACTGTTAACTTAAAAGGATCAGTTTGGGTGTTTTGAAGTGGGTTTGAGACACAGAAAAGAACTGCGGGAGCAAAGCAATGCAGCAAGAATAATGGACAGAAGCAGCAAAAACTTCAGACACCTCTAAATTTAATTTCTAAATATTTGTAGCATGTTGATTTCTAAAGTGAAGATTACTTGCTTCCGGAAATGCAGCAATGAATGAAAATTACAAGCAACTGCATTGTGAAAATGTCACGCTGACAGCACAAATAAACCAGATGCTCTTCATCTGCTCCAGATGTTCACTTTGACGCAATTAAACATAAAACTACACTCATTTTGTGTTAATTAGGGCCATTATCAGAACAGATTTAATTAAAAATAGTTGTCTTGTATACTATATTGCTAAAGTTACAATAATATGCCCATTTTAGCAGAGACTAACCAGGTCATAATTTCATGGGCTCATTGTTGAGTGTATATGTCGTCGTAAACAGCAGCCATAGGTTTGTCAGGGACTCGCGGTTATTTCAGCAAGTGAACGTCTCTCGGCTCTCGTCTTACCTCGTTGCCAAGCAGAGAAGAGACGCAGGCTTCGGAGGCATCACATATGGCCGTGAGGTCGTGACCTCCCTCCAGGGCGAGCACCAGCCGACCGCCTGCCAGACCCATCAGCTGCCTGGTCAGGTAGCCGAAGCCTGGACACGGAGGAGAAGAATGAGACGGGGGAGCAGTGTGTTCAAGCTCTGACTTCCTTTTTGGATATTGATCAAAGAAATAAAAAGGGTTTGAGCGAGGATGAGAAAAAGGGGGTGACTGCGTCAGGGAGAGAAAGAGGGGAAGAAAGCACTCTGTGGATTTACCGGGGGCCAAAAAACAAGCCATAATAAGAGCCAGGTTTAAAGTGCGGCTTTGCGTTTAGGCTCGGTCGCAGTCTCTGATCTTTTGCTCTCAGGATGAGAGGAGTTTTTCAATATATGCATTCAGGAATACTTTCTTTTCCCCTAAATTCTCCCCATATCCCCCTCTTCCTGCAATCCTCTCTAACCACCCGTATCACCCCCTTAACAACCAAGACCCCTGGTCTCGGTTCAGATCTGCGGGATGGTTTTAGAAAATCTCTCTGCTGGCACGCCAAGGTCTCGTTATGAATACGCAAGTCGGAGGCACAAAATAAACACGCCGCCGCTTCTATGCCGTGCTGCGGTGCACGGGCAGGGCACGTTACAAGTGAGACGGGGAAGGACATACATTCAAATAGTTATGCATCCTTCAAAGAATTAGAAAGATTAACATGTAACTGTGGTCAGCGCTTACATTTGGCTGTCAGCTTGTATCCTCCGAGGGGCGGGGCGTGTCCGTCCACCGCATCGAAGCCCGACGATACCAGAACCACGTCTGGGGCGAACTCGTTGGCAATAGGCATAACCACCGTCCTAAGGAAAAACGAAATAATGAATTTATGGTCGGTACTCTCTAGCCAATGATTGTGGCTTTAGTGTAAATAGAACACTTTGTTAGTGCATGATTTTTTTTCCCTTTTTGTTGGCTGCCCTCCTGCAGGAAGGCCACAAAGAAGAGATTCACTTTGGACTATTAAGTATTCCAGAAAGAGATTAAGAATGTCCCAAAAGTATTTCCAATGCAGTTTTTCCCAAAAAAAACGTTGCAGTGTACAAGACGGCAAGCTTTTCTGGCAACTCTGACACAAGATAATCTGCACAGGAGGTACACAAATAAGAGAGGGAAATGTTATGACAGTGTGTCCACATTGAATGCATAACCCATGCAACAGTATGCAAGTAAAAAGAAAGAAAAACTATGAAAGAAAAGTACACAGTATTAGTGTCTCAACAAACACACACACACTAGGTGAGGTAGAGAGCAAATGCCCCCCCTAAGACTTTAGACCCAGAACCCTCAGGGACTCACTGACATCACCTGGTAAATTGTTAAGAGTGAGAGGCTTGAAATCATCTAAATACGAATGGGATATCCCTTTTTCTGCAACATACTATGTTACCATGACAACTCCCTGATCATTAATTTAATATTCCAGGCAGTGCCTTCCTCTTTGTGTACCCTTTCTTATGTCTGCATCTTCCACTGGTTACCCCCTGCTATGAATTCTAGATCATTCCCTTGGACAAAGTCTGCAGAAATGCAGACTTATGGAAAGTGTCCAAAATTGGCTCAAAATGTCTACCAGAGAGCCCTAAAAAACCTGGAGATTTGACAGTGGGACGGACCTCACGGAAGTTGCAGAAGCGCACCTCCAAGTCAGTCTGTGAGTGTGAAGATTGGGATTGAGATCGGGCCTCAATTTACCCTGATGAGCAACATCTTTCCGAAGCAGACATTTCAAAAAGTAAGGCTGCTTTTCATCAACGGAGTAGCTTGCAGCTGCAACAGTGATATCTATTTAATGGGCTGACTGCAGGACTTGATGACTTGGTTTCAATCAAACATGAACTGCTCCAAAATGCATCAACTATATATTGCGACTACTGCTCAACCCATTCAAAAGACAAATGAAAACCACAGGTTTTCAAGATTTGAAGAGATTGATATTGTATAAACAATTTATATAACTACCGTGTTTCCATTACATTTAACTGTGTCAAAGTAAACAGAGACTCGAGAGAAACAAGCAGTGGAGCACTGAGGGAACTTCACCATATTTTAAAAAGCTACACCATAAAACATATTTTACACTATTATTATTTCCTGCAAAATGATTAATATTTGTGCTAAAAGAAGTCTTGCTGCTGGCAAGCTGGACAAAAGAGGAAAATGTAATGTATGCAAGAGGACTATAAAAATGTGGACAGAGATGTATGCCTTTACCATCACAGTGTCCCTGTTGTGATGGTTGTATGCTGCAACCAGCAGATATTCTACATGTCTCCATTGCTGCACTTTAGTTATTTTATGGCTTTTCCTCCCTTTCATGGTTTTCAAGGCAAACATCCACCTAATGAGTTGTATATACAGTATGTGTGTGGCAGAGAAAATGATACCCTACACTTCTTGAAGTGGAAAGAAGTTTGGAAATTTCGGGGCAGCAATTCACTACAACATCCTTACGTGAAAAGGGGAAACGGAAGGACAGATATAATAGCGTGTGTGTGTTAATTATGCAGGGTGATTTTAATGCTGGATGGGTGTGGTCAACAAGGCCTGTTTGTGCACCAGAATCCTTTTACACACGGCTGTTGGGGATGGTGTGCTTGTGCCATGCACATAAATCTAAACGTCGGGTAATGTAATGATTCACTGCAGGTTGTGGCTGGAAAATCCAACCAGGTTTGTATCGCGACACCGTGTGTGTGTTTTTAAAAGACACATTATCTTAAATCACATTACACTAGTTAGGATTTATCAGTCATTTCATTTTTTTGATTATATACACTGGTGGGCCGCGAAGGTACTGCAGGTGGGCCGGGAGAGATCATTTACAATAAATAAATAAAATGTTTTTAATTTTCAATTTTGAAAAGTTTGAAATTAAAATAAAATATGTCAAATGGGGCGCCGTCTTGTAGTATTAAAGTAAATATATATGAGCTCCGGAGAAAATGGTATACAAAACATACATTGTCGGTTAATACATTTTTAATCGGTTAAATTCTTAGTCATTTAATCATCCCTAGTTTATGTTTTGATTAGCGTTGTGATTAAAGGTTTGGGTGGGCTGCAAAAGTTTTTCAGATTTCAAATTGGGCTGATTCTTGAGTTTGGGAAACGCTGATATACACAATCGTTTGATCCAGTTATAAGTCAGGTAAGGTAAACATTACTAAAAACACAATTACTCCCACATACTTCTATCAAGTTAAACTCAAGAAAGGAGCTTAGAGTACAGAAGCACAACCCTTCAGCTCAGAGTGACAGTTACTGTAAAATGATGGCAACTGTTGCAAATTTGCATCCCTGCCGGTATGGACAGTTTAAATGCAAAACATTTGCAAGCAAGTATTCCTAATTTTTATATTGCTAGGCCTTATCCTTGGGTAAAGTGTTTAAGTTTGGTTTTCTGTATCTAGTTTTGGTTTCTGTAAAGGGAACTATTAATTAGAATCAGCCATACTGAGTGATCACTGAACTAGGGTGGGCACTGTTAGACATTTGACACATAATATAAAGTACAACAGTTCATAGTATCTGGTTTAGGACGCAGTTCATAAATAGTTATAAACTATCCAGATGGCAAAACAAGCGGTTCTCATAGATTTACTCTGAGTGCAGAGGAATTTTCTGGCGGTCTGGGACATTTGGGCAAGCAGTGTTTTGGTGAGGTCTGCAAGTGACGGAGTACCACAGGGTTCCGTCGCAGGTCCTCTGTACTTTGCTGACCTCGGGAACACGCCGATGGTTTTCTGGCTGTGGGGGAGCAGCCTGCCCTGAACTCCGGAGGCCACCGTTTTTTCCAGCTCTTGTTAGCCACCAAATTATAACCCTAAACTGCGCAAACCCCTCCCCCCCCCGCCGCCACTCCACAACACCCATACGTACACACAGCTGTCCGAGGGAGAGGCGGGAGATTCAGAGCTTACTGCTAGTCCCATGAAGAAAGAACACACTGAGTGTGTGCGTTACTGTGTGTTAGCGTGCATCTGGCAATATTTCAGGGAAACACGTCATGTAACGAAGATCAAGAATAGTACAGGGAAGTAACGTTCGAGTCAATGAGTGAGTGGACAAAGCCTGTGGGGGAGCAGTCGACGAAGAAAACACAGAGGGAGAAAGGATATGACTAAATAGAGACTCAGTTGCTCCATTAGCACCACGGCACGTGCAAAAGTGTCTAAAAACGGTCACATGATGCAATGTTTGGAATCAGACCTGTATGACAATTATATGAAATAACCATTCTGCTAATGGAAGTTCATATTTTTCCGCTCCAGTTTCAGATTTTATTGCACGTGTTACATTTGTTTCCACCTACTTATAAGCTTACGTACGCGCACACAGCTTTTGCCCATTGGCATTTGGGCCATAAAAGACCCCACATTAAAAGTAGTTGGCTACATGCATGCATGCAGGGGGAAACCTTGAAGCACCGAGGGCTCCCCACACTCCTTCTTCCACCCTTGAACAGACAAGAGACAGTTTAGTCACAATGAAAACTATGAATTGTCATCACTTCTAGCCTACACCCCCCTTCAATTCAGACATTTAAGGATATAAAAACCCACAGGAATAAATTCGCACACTGGATAAGGGAAACCGGTGGTTTTAAGAACACTAATTATCTGTGAATCAGAGACTATGCATGCGGCTATGAAAAAGCTTCCATGTTAATTAAGGCAGGGGAGAGTTTACAACAGTAACAACGTGGGCATCCTGAGTCAAGAGGTGGCGACTAAAACCACTCTCACTGTGAGGGGAGCTACTTGTGTAAGCATTTAGTGCACACTTTTGTTTAGTTTATATAGCAACAGCGTGCATGTGTCACAACATCAGCTTATTGGAATGCTGGTTGTGAGACTAAAAAGATGCCGCGGAGGTCCATAAACCGTGGATCCTACACTTCCCTCATCTCCCCAAGGCTGACATCGTCAGGATTATTTCTCACACTTAAGAAACCTCAGCAAATGACGGACTTTTAAATGCTACGTCAACTATAATGAGAGACTAATTAGGATGAGAATAATCAAACTTCAATCAAGAGAAAAACACGTCATTTTCCCCTACAAAAAGGAAGTGACCAGCATCTTTGCCTCTGTACGCAAACACAAAAGATCTCTTTGACCATCAAGCCCTCGTAGTATCGGCTCTATTTTATAGACCACTCAGACTATTTATTCCTCCGCTGATTCTGATGAACCTATTCAAGTTTTGGCAGTCATCAACCATCATGACTTTAAGTCCCACAGTTTAATGCAGCAGTAGATCTGAAGGCTTAGTGGAGACTTTTTGAGCCAAGGAAAACTTCCCCTCATTACACTACTCATCTTTGTGTAATTGCTCAGGTGCCTAATTTATCCTTTTCCTCCTCTTGGCCATGCCTCATGGTCCAACGTTCCCCGGGCTTCTAACATGGACGGCAAAGAGCTAAAATGCGGCATCGGTGGTGTACCGCAAACTGTAGACATTTCTAAACATATTTTAGGTATCATCATTCCTGTTAACATATAGTAGAATAAACTAACAATATAATCATCTAATATTCTTCCATTCCATTTTGGCAAAACACATATTATCCGTCAAATAAAAAGAAACATCTGAGTTCAACTTTCCATTTTGCAAAACGAGCTTCCAAAATTGACCCTGGTCAATCACCATTACCAGACATTTCCTAGCGTTTGAGCAGTTATTACTGGAGGGATCCTCCAGTAAAGGACCAGGGGAGACCCACAGAGTATAGACTGTCCTTCAGAGGGAGCAGTGTTCATCATGCCCGTTAACAAAAGGTTAAACTCCAGAGTTTCAAGGCTTTCCTTCTTCGTTCATAAAAAAAACAGAGAGCGGGAGAGAGCAAAAAAAACCTCACACACGCACACTTACACTTCAAAGCCCTGTCATCTGGCGCTGCAGAGAGCTGTTTTGAATTAAGTTTAATTCTCCTCCTCTCTCGTCTTTCCAAGTTCATGGCAGAAGAGGGAGTGAAAGGAGGAAGAGAGAGAGAGAGAGAGAGAGAGAGAGAGAGAGAAATATAGGAAGAGTGCTTCTGGTTTTCATTAGGGCCAATTTTCTTATCTTTTTTCTCTGTGTTTTTCTGGAGGCTCAGACTTGAGCCCCAGCAAATGCAACGTGGCGCGGGCCAGTGGAGGAATGGGACGGTGCCGGCTGCGAGGCACACATCCCCCCCCCCAAAGACATAGGGAGGAAGGAGAGGACCACAACACACGGATAAACAATGAGATTGAAAGAAAGACGATATATATATATATATATATATATATATATGTATATATATATATATATGTATAGAGTGTGTGTATCAGGTGTCTATGCGTGCGTGTGGTTGTAAATGTGTAAGCACGCTGATGTAAGAGCTGCACTTCTGACCATTTGTTTCTCTGTGTTTGTGTGCACATCCGTGCATCTTCATGGAAGTTTTAACCGAAGCTTTCTGCCGTTGGGAGCTTGTGTACAGCATGGGCATTTGTATAAACACAAGACTATCCAGTATCTGTAACCAGGATTCTTTGTGCGTGTAGTAAATCCATGAGCTGTGGGAAAGGTTTGCTGCTGTCCTGTGAGGTTTATGAATAGTTCCATCATTTCTCATTAGTAACCAGAAGAATCACATAAAATCAAGGTAGAAATGCAATAGAAGCCCCTCAACATTAATATATAGATCCATGGGCCCCTGAGCAAACAAGCACACAGCAAACCTACTGGTTTGAGTTTTAAGTGACTGCAGTTGGATGTTTACAGAGATGGCTGGTTGATGTTATACTGGTCAACTTAAATGTGCATCGAACGACTCAAACACAGATGGAACATCTCCAATGCCCTTGTGATATAAAGTAGTGAGAGTCACAGGGGCACCCTTACTGCTTTATGTCACAAGGACCGCTACACAGCCTGTGAAAACAGTTGTACAATGTCGTTGGCTTTGGCTTTCCAAAGTTTAAAAGACAGAACCATGGGGATGGCGTCAACATTATATCATTTTAGGCTTGAGACTTAAATGTTGAACCTAAAGCCTGCACAACAAACTGGAGGTGTGGTGTTTGAAGGATTTAGGCCCTTCAAAGGATTTTCGGAATGACCATGACCAGCAAGGGACGCCGGCTCCTAGACGCTTCTACCTACCTTCTACAAAAAAATGCTTTTTTCCTGTGTGTCTCTTTAAAGGACACTGTTGAATTGAGATTTGGGGACTTATGGCAGGATCAAGAGTTAGAGGGATCTACACGGGTACTACAAATCTAGATTACTCAGCCTGTGTTGCATAGTTTTGTACGATATCTGTGTTCAGTCAAAACCTAATGGCTCAAGTACCATTTCGAAAAAAGTGTTATTGACAAGTTTAAAACAGGTCTTGCGTGCTGAAAGCCAGTAGAAGACAGTCGCCTTGCTGCTTCCAGGCCTTTGGCTCGGGGCCAGATGGACCCACAGTTGCAAAGCCGGGATCATCTTCAAAGAGTCTGTGGAGAATCCCTCTATGTTTTGCATGCGTGTCGTGTGTCTGTGAGGTTATAAATAGCTCAAGCAAGTAGAAAGTAATAAACAGGCCCGGCCTTCAGAGGAGGTTTCCTACTTGACGGGCCTCGATAGATCATTTGTCCAACTTTTTGCAGCAAATTCTTCCCTCCAAGTCATTTCAGGGGGACACAACATTACCAAATCTGCCGCTCAGTGTCTTACCTAAAAGCAGCCAGGTACTCTGCGTCACTCATGGGAGGCTCCAGTCCTCCAGTGAAGGCCATGTTCACGTTGAAGCCTACACCCGCTCCACTGCCCACCTACAACACGGATAAACGAGGCCGGGTTACTTTGTGCAACGGGGTGGCAGGTCCACCGGGGACACGGCGCGGTGTTCCTCCCCACCTCGTCGGGCGCTCCGCTGCCGGGGAAGAAGTTCCCATCGTCGTAGCGATGCAGTGAAAGGTAGAGAACGTTGGGGTCTGCGTAGAAGGCCTGCTGGGTGCCATTGCCGTGGTGAACATCCTGGAGAGAAAAGGGAGCGGTTAAGATGTTACGAGTGGCATGTGGTAGAGAGTTTGGGAAGAGGTGTCATTAACACCAGGGACATAACAGAGGCTGTCACCAACAGGACATTGTAACATTTGCATGAACGGGGTTATCAACTCTCGACACACGGACACTGAAACACTGCCAGGCGGATGATCAGTAGGTCCGCCGCAGCCTGCCGTGGTGTCAAAACGGGACGCTCTGCAGAATTCAATAAAACCCTCAACTTCCAAAAAAAGGTTCACTTTTGCGAGCAAGACGAGATCAATCGAGTGACCTCACCGTCTACATTCCGGGAATGCTTTAAAATGCTGGTCCTAAAAATGCCGCTGTCGTCTTTAGTGGCATGACAGCGAGTTTGCCACACTGAACGCTCCCTGTGACAGACAGAGAGGAAATGAAAAGGCCCTTCAAAGGATTTTGGGAATGGCCATGAGCAGCAAGGGACGCCGCTGAGGAGCAGGACTCCTACACACTTCTTCCTACCGTCTACAAGAAAATACTTTGGTGAAAGAGACAGTGTCTGACCTAGATAGCAATATAGCATAAGTGCAACCGAAAAAAAGGATTATTGAAATATACGTTTTTTCAACCGAGTAACATTTTCATTGCATTAGGAGACGTATTTGCAAGGAAATCATTGAGTTACACAAGAAACTCACCCAGTCCACGATGAGGACTTTGCTGACATTGAGTCTCTGCTGCAGCAGCTTGGCTGCTATGGCGACCGAGTTGAAGTAACAGAAGCCCCTGAAAGTGAACAGTGAGAGAACAGCCCAATTAACATTGAACAACACAGTACTGGAAGTATCTTATCAAAGTAAATCTCACTATGAGAATAACACTTTGGGGTCTGTTGTGCAGAAATGAAGAAGAAACTTTGACGTGACAATATGGAGGACACTTGTCTAGAGGGACAAGCTCGATAAAAGTGTTATGAACCAGGCGGCAGCTGACCTCTGTCCTGGTCAGATTTTGTGTTTACTTACATAGGCGTGCTCTCCTCAGCGTGGTGTCCAGGTGGTCGAACTACAGCGAAACCGTTCTGTCAGAGGAAACAAAGGTCACACACACACACACACACACACACACACAAAGCCTTTTTTACTTATTGCCAACAAGTGGAAGTTCTGTCTAAGAAACTGAGAACTCTGAAAATGACATCATGGATTCTGAAATAAAAAAAGATCTATATATCTAAATATAAGACCTGACGTCAACCATGTGTGTGTCGGTCAAACTCAAACCGGCTCCTTAGAGAGAAAACAGCAGTCGTTCAAAAGTATGCGCGCACAGAGGAACAGATGCGTACAACGGGTCAGTAAGGGAAGCTCTGTTAAGGCCGGGACCTGCGGGACCTGCAACTGTTTTTGGGGGCTGCCACTGCTACGTGGGGACATTAGATAGATGTCCGGGCTGATGTAGAGCGAGGCGAGCCCGACTAATGATGTTGAGTCAGCTGCTGTGGATTAGCAGCCGGCCAGGAGTTTAACGCAGAGACAACCGCCTCAGCTGGTTTTGAGGACACTCTGCATAATACAGCATGTACGTGTGTGTGTGTGTGTGATGCTCAATTGTGTCCGTATAAAGAGGAAATACAATGGATTTAAAATAGATTTGGGTGGAGCAAACAGATGGAGAGGCAGCCACGTGGGAGTGTGTGGGAGGGATAGAGTCCTGTCATTCTGTGGAGTTTGGCTCCAGAGGCTCTTCAGAAGACCATCTGTATGTGTGTAGGCACGTGTGTGTATGTGTGTGTGTACTTATGTGCATGTATGTGTTAAGATCAGGTTAAGCTGAGGGCAAGTCAATACATGTGAACTTTAACCCTATATTATTCCAACACTGAAGCTCGGTCCTACTCTCCATGCGATGGCGCTCGTAGGTCCCCTCCCGCGTCAGTCTCTAACGCGGCAGGGACGGCGTGTAGGGACGGCGTGTAGGGACGGCGTGTAGGGACGGCGTGTAGGGACGGCGTGTAGGGACGGCGTGTAGGGACGGCGTGTAGGGACGGCGTTAGGTTGAGGCGCGTGGACGACGGCCCGGATCACTGAATCAAGCGACCGGAGAAGCTGCGAGACAAACGCCACCACAGACTCACGAATGACATCGAAAAACTGTCAACGTCTATGTTTAGTTCCCCAGCGGTCTCCCGGAGGAAAAGTCCTGTGTGTGTTATTCATGTTTCAGTGGATTTCAGTGTTTTTACTCCTGGAATTGAATGATTTACATCTTATGCTTTCGTTTTCTCAACCGTACAAGTTCTCAACGTTTTATACAAACATTTCTTCGTCGTAATCCTGCCATTAGGTAGAAAAAAAGGAAAATGAATACAAGCACATACAGTGAAAAATCTGGCGCGCTACTGTCTCACAGGAACGTCATTAGTCTGCGGCATGCCGGTGCTAAGCTAACGCTAAGTGCGTCAGCTGCTCTGCAGGTGGCTGCGGTGTAATGCCCATAAAACGGGGCTGTTATTGGGGACTGCTGGCGTTTGCGGTGCCCGTGAGCCGGGCCTCCCTGCTGGGTTCAAACGGTGAGCAGCCGTGGCCACAGACACAGGAAGGCTGGCTGGTGGGCAAAGCGTGACGGGGGTGGGGATGTCTGTCTGGGAGGTGCTAACGAGACTTCGAGGTGGAGGGTTCTGGCGTGAGGTTTCTCCTTTCTTGAGGTGTTTGGAGGCGTGAATGAGCAGTGCAGCGCCGCGAGGAGTTCTAACAGGTTTTGTGCGATCCATTATCGACTCCAATCCAGCCCCGCCCGGTGCTGGTCACGGATTTATCTGGGTGGGATCCACCTGGGCTTTGTTTCGAGTGGGCTCCATCTCATCGCTGGTGCTGCTGTTATTAAAAGCCTTTAGTCCGAGTTTGCTGCTGATTTGGCTGAGCAAAGTATCCGAACTGACCTTCAGCTCCCCCGACGCTACTTTGAACACCAGCTCCACCACCGAGCCGACGGCCAGACGAGCCGCACTGGACGAATGCACCTCGTTCCAAATGGTGTCGTTGTCCACCTGCAAACACAAACACACACATGCAGGCATGTGTTGTTTAAATCACAAAAAAACACTGCACTTTTTATGCTGTTTTTCATCCAATACGGGACATTTGATGTTGTGCTTTACAGCAGTTCAGAGTGACAGCGATCGTTAAACTGTGAGGACATTTGAAATAATTTAGCTATGTCATTTCACATCAAAGTTAGTCTTTGAAAGTTGCAGTTTGGGGACAGCTGGGACGTTCTCACGGACATGGACCAGAACCAAGAGAGAGTCTGTGAGGCAGTAAGACATATTTAGAAACTTAATCATACACATTTATTATAGCAAGCTCTGTGTTCATCAGTCCATTAAGGCAAAACACACATTTATTGTAATTTAGTATCAAGGGCACGCCAGCTTTGAAAAAAAAAAAAGCCAATGTTTTGACAAATATACTGGTAATTAAAAATGAATATCAATTAAATGTGTTTAGAACTTCAGATATGGAGCGCTGGATTAAATATTTAAAAAAAAAACACGGAAAATTTGAAATCCGAGTACAAACAAAGTGAAAATGAGGGCAGGCCAAGAAAAGTCTCTCTGCATTTATTTTCCCATTTTATGAGTATTTGTGTGTTTGGGGAGTAAGTTCAGTCACCAGTCAGTGGTCACGCCAGATTAATGCTGAGGCCCGCTCAGCCCCAATCACAACAGTACATCCGCGCTCACGCACACAAGCCCAGCGGACCTCAATAGTCGATGTGATTGATTGCGAGCGGCGCGGCGCACGGGATAATATACACACCCTCCATCAGGCATGGCAGATACCGCGGGCAGATGGAGCACGTGATAAACACAGAGAGGAGAAGCTGGCAGATGAAGAGAAGAAAAATAAGGGCCGTGTGTCGATGTGTTTGAACTGGACACACATGTGCGGAGCGGCCGGTGCCAGAGCGCCGGAGGAGAACTTTGACCCGCCCGCCGGACGCTCTGACAACTCGCTTTGCGTTGGCGGCCTCTTGGTCAGCGTTACGCGACTGGATGACCTTTTTCGGGGGGCCAGCCGTCCCACTTCACCTCCCTCTCCTCTAGTTAAAAGGAGGGAGCGAGGGGGGAATAGAGAGCGGCGGCGATGAGTAACCGAGGGAGCAGAACGTGAACACAGAGAGAGAGAGGAGTGGAAGACACCGTGTTGTAACCGAGTCAGTGAGTGGATGGGAAACCGAACCGTATATAGACGCCAGGTTAATGAACACAAACAGATGGTGCTCTGAAGCAGCGTGTGGAGACTGGGCGGTTTATTGTTTGCCATGTTGATGTTAGCTTTTCGCCTCAAGACAGAAGTGGGACGCGATTTGACAGGGAAAAAGGAAAGGGAAGGTGTGTGTTTGTGTGTCGGCGGCAGAAAAAAGCGGGAGCGTGCTGGTATGACTGAATGATGGTTCCCCACAGGCTGACAGCCTAATTTCAGCCCCCTTCCTCTGTAAATGTGTGTGTGCGTGTGTGGGACTGCTATGTGTGTGCATGACAGGAAGACAACAATTTAGCCCCATTTGCCATTATAAAGAGCAGAGCGCAGCTCGGGCTCTTCTTGTTCCCACCACTGCAGCAGCAACTCCCCAAGGGAGGGAATGGGGGCGAGGGGGGCGAGGTGGAATAACGTGCAAAAGATATGGGGATGCATAATTGTTATGTAAAAGGCATATGTTGCTGTAGGTGGATTGGCCTTTGGAAATGCTCAACCTTTGTCCCCGGAGTCAACAGCAAGCACACCTACAGGTGCACGTGAGACTGCTCCGACATATCCATTTCAAAAGACGGCACTTCCAGCTCGGAGCAGCCATCTAAATCATTGCCTTAGCACACAAACATCCCTAAACACACTGCTACACACACAAACAAAAGCACACACCCAGCCAACTATACCATGGGGGGTGCGTGCGCGCACACACACAGCGCGTATGCTGAAAACATCTGGTTACAATTATTAACACTGCAGAAAGGCAAGCAACAGCTTTTGTTGCCTCTGGTCCTTGAGGGCCTTTATTGTGTGTGTGTGTGTGTGTGTGTGTTTGTGTGTGTGTCTGTTTGGTGGAACAAGAACAAATGGGAGCATTATTTAGGCAGGGGGCAGAGAGAGCGAGTGGGCAAAGGGGAACCCGGTTATTACACTGCGGTTTGATGGTGCTGGAACTATGCTTGTTTGTTTCAGTGTAGCTTGGGATATTGATTAGATTAGCACGGTGTTGTAAAAGCACCTAACGGTCCATTGCAACAATTTTCCACTGAATAAGCGTGACTTAACGCTCGAAATTTCGAAAGTTATAGCAGGCACACATAATTACTAAAACTTCATTACCGACTGAATATTTGTCAGATGACCCATGCGATTTACAGGAAGAAAAATAAATAAGTGACTTACCCCTATGCCTCCGCACGGTAACCGCACAAACATGGGACTCACTGAACCTGAGGCAGACACACACAAAAGTGCAATCAGAGCCCGTAATGTGCAAATAGGGAAAAAGAAAGAGCAGAAGAGGCTTAACTGTCTGGACTCACAGGCACAGACCGGGTGCATGACCCCCAGAGAAACTGGGCATTTGACCCTTTGACCTAATCTGAAAGGTAGAGTATACAAGGGCGTGCTGTAATTGGGCAAGGTGAAGGGGGAAAGTATCTCGTTGCCCTGGTAATCAAACCCTCTCAGTGGGAATCAAGATTTTAGATTCCGTGTTGTTTTAGAAAATGGAAATGAGGGAACTAGCTGGTCCAGGTCTTAGTCTGCCGCCTGATCATTTGTCCAAAATCCTCAACTGTAGCTCAACAGTGTCTGACAACAAGAAACAAACCCAAACCACATATTTCATCTAATGTCTAGGAATGGTTTAATGGAGTATACTCTACTTAGAACAGTTTGCATTTCCCTTTCCTTCTTCTCCATTTCCAGTTTTGTGTGTGCGCTGAACCCTTACACAGGATTATCTGGTAATTCTCCTGTGTAAGCAGTAATAATAAGGGGAATTTATGTCTCCACTGGAATGAAAGCTAAGATGACCACTGGGGTTCGCCCCTTAGCACACACGCACACACACGCACATACACACACAAAATGAGAATGCCTTGGCTACACCTGCACTTTGAGCCAGAAAGGCCAGACGTAAGTGACAAAGCAGCCTGTGCGACTTCCAGTTAACAAGCTTCAGCAGTTCCTCACCTTATCGTAACACCTCCAGGACTTTATGAGATCGGACCTTTTGTTATGACACGGTTTAAGCATTAAAGCAGATTCCTTCCACAGACGCTGCAGATTCATGGCATTCAAGAGGGGGACTTAGTGTGAGATTTAGTCTGCACAAAAGGACAACTCAACTCGTTGTGTTGCATTTATGCATGCAGATTGATTCATTGTGCAGCGGCTCATTGTGCATGTAGCCTTTGTGTAAAATACCGTGAAACACTTGTGCACTGGAAAACACTGGACTGTATATCGCAACACTCATTGATGTCAGTTTTCAGGCAGCATGCCTGGCAGTCAGCTCGGCATGAAACCTTTACCGTTGCTGCCAGATTGGTTCATGCTTAGACCCAGTGTGTAAATGCATCCTGTGTGCTTGTATCAACGTGTCGTTGCGTGTCTTACAGTCCAGTTTCTGCCGCAGCGGGTTGGTTCCGTAGAGCAGGACGTGGGCTTCAGAGTGGACCGTCTGTAACTCCTCCAGCGAGGCTTTCCTCCCGCGGATACACTGCTCACAGGGAAGGAAAGAGAAGAGGTGAGGCAAAGAAAGTACAGGAAATACAGGCTGACAATCCAAACTGTTATAGTCATCAAAGAAGATTGGAAGGATAGCGTTACATTGTTAGAAGTCCCGCCCTCATGAAGAGGCACAGCATATATTGAGGCACATGGTGTCTGCGTGTGTACAGTAACCCAAGTTTAGGAGGTGGAAGTGGTTCATTTTAATGCAATATATGCTAAATCTTTTTCATTGGTAAAGTCAGCCATCGATAGAAAATAGCCAAGTGCTGCCCCCTTCTGGTCGTTGAAGCAACCAGTACTTCAGAGTTGAATCCTGGCATGTCATACTACTAGGCTCCTAAGATCACAACAGATTTACACAGAGAAATAATAAAAACACTGATATGTTAAAAACATGTGTTATTGTACGATCTAAGCACGGTTCTACGCGGGGGGGGGGCTGCATTAACCACGGATGACTAAAACCGGATCAATAGTACAGTAAGAACGGCTGACTGAGTGATTGGCCCCCCGACACACTGGAAGTCATCATCGAAAAGAGAACCATGGCCAAGTTAAAACCCATCGTTTATTTTGAAGGCCATGAATCATCTTGTTTTTGATGGACTCAGAAGCTCGTTCGGTTCAGGAGGCCTCATCGTCCTACTGAACAACTCAGACGGTCCTTTATCTCAGCTGCTTGATTTATAATTCTTGCCTCACTGTAGCTGCAGGACAAGTCAATTCAATTATATTGTTTTAGAAATATTCTGATATTTCATAATGTCGATTTGATATATAAACTACTGCATCTCAACACTTGTCATCCCAGGACACGCCTCGTATGGAGGAGGTGGAAGCCGTACCCTTTAAAGTTACATCTAATACATCTACATCTATTCCATCTATTAAGGTCAATGTGACTGTTACCTCGCAGTGCGACCTGAGGCCAGTTTCCTGTAGGCGGGACCAGATACTCTGGATTCGTCCAGCGTGCTCCGGGTGGCTGGTGGTGTTGCCGCACATACACTGGTGCTTCTGCATCAAAGAGTCATACACCAGGCCTGGAACAATACACACAGCGTGCACTCGTTTGTATCGCTTCGACAACGAGGGCAGGAACATTTGTGGCGACAAGATTCCTGTAATCGCACGGTTCCCATGATGTGATTATACGCTGCTTCACCATCAACAACAAAAGTCCCGCTGAGAGGGTCCAGTAGAGTAAATTACACCGGTCGTGGCGTGGGGCGTCACAGGGCTCACAATACCTAGCAACAGCCTTGAGCGTATAAACAGCCGCTGTGTTGCGGTTTCCCTCCAACCTGCAATCAGCAGGATTACAGTGTGTTTATGATTGTTGTTTGCCCGCTCTTCTTTACAACGGACCTCCGAGAGCAACACACACACACACACACATCCCAGTGAAAAAGCAGATTTCATGCTGCAGTGTGTTATGCGTTGGAGCCATGTCATTACTGTCCTACTACGTACCTGTTGTAAATCGAGGCTTGGTGGGCGGCTCCTGAACCACCATGGGGAAGGAGGCGGAGGCTGGGGACGACTGGGCTCTGGAGAGGGGACGGTGTCCGGCGAAGCTCACCGACAACCCGGCTGCTTCCATGGAGGCTTGGTAGTTCCTCAGCTGGTGGATCCGCTGCTGCTCCAAGAGCAGAGCTTGCTGCGCACACACACACACACACGCACACGCACACACACACAAACACAGAGGGACATGTGTCGTGTGACTGCTAGACCGCAATGTCTTCCCCCTTCCAGAGGGTGGCACTAGTTCCTTGCAAATACCTGCTGTGGTGCATTCTGTCTGCTGGGCAAACGAGTTGAGCATGTGTTACATAGAGACATGTGGGGGTTTCTCTATCTGTGCAGCGCATGAAAGCCACACAACTAAGAATCCCACAATACCTAATAATTCATGTTAGCGTTCAGCTGAAAAAGACAAACAATCTACCACTGCAACTGCTTTAAAAACAGCAAGGGGGGAGACGGGGGGGTATATGTTTTAGGATTATTTCATCTGAAAAGTGTCTCATTCAAACACTTGAAACTTGGGTGACAGGTCTGATCTTTTCACTCCCAAAGAGTCTCTCCGAGCAAAACCCGTTGTTCAGCTGTGAACAACTGTGTCTGCTTACATCGAGCGCCATGGCCACAGTGATGGGAGTGCCTGATTGAATTTGGACAGCAGGGATGGGCTCGACTGATAAGAACACAGTGTCCCGACTGGGAATGGCTGTGAATGTGTGTGTGTGTGTGTGTGTGTGTGTTTGTGTGTGTGTGTGTGTGTGTGTGTGCGTGCGTGTTTGCAGAAGAGACCTACAAAATAAATCCGTGCAAGAGAAATGAAAATTGAGGAAGGATTTCTTTGTGCAGAACATTATGTTTTGAAAGCTTGTGATTGTCCGTGTGGAGCTGCTCGGGAAAAAGTGTGGAGGAGGTTCAGCAGCCCTAAGCCATTCATAAAGATAAAAACACTACTCTACTACTGTGTGGCGTGCGCAAGCACAACCTGAGTGCTACTATAAGTATCTATGTATCTAGAACATTAAGGGAACAGTCAGGTGGGAAGAATGGAAATATCTCAGTTAGTCACTAGCTGCATCTGTTACTGCTGATCATTTATTTTGCATTAAAAAAAATGCTAACATTGAAGCAGCCAACAAAAGAAGGGTCATTATTAATGGTAATACGTACACATGATGAGATGATGTTACCGGGAAGGGATTTGATGCCAAAATTCCTATCAGTTTCATCTTCCTTTTTTCTATTTTGACTCAGGAAAGTCTGAAAAGAAGATTCAATTTGTGTAGTCTTCATTTCAACCGACTCTAGTTCACACTGTCCATCATTCATCCTCTTCCCGCTGCTCCCACTCTTCTCCTCCCACTCCCACCTGCCCTCCTCTTCCCTTACCTGTCGGAACAGGAAGTCCTGCTCGACTAGTCGCTCCATCTTCTCCCTCTCCTCCTGCTGCTGCTCCTGGGGGTCCGAGGGCTCCTGCTTGATGACCAGCCCTCGCAGAGGCCCCGTATCCTGCGCCGACGCCGAACAAGAGGCTGACAAGGATGAAAGGGAGAGCCCCTGGTGCTCCCTGAGCTCCTCCTCCGTCTCCTCAGGGTGACTCTGGTGCTGCCTGGCCGGGCCCGAGGCGCTGGAGCTCGCTGCCGACACGGGATCACCGGGCTTGGACATGATCTGGAGGATGAAAAGAGGAGAGTTCAGGGGTGGGGGGGCTAAGGGACACTCGACCCAGTTATATGATTCTCTCAAGATACCCGTTCAGGTAAGAAACTTTGATGGAGCTAAACAGGAAGATTGGACTTCTTACGAAGGAAAACAAAGCAGCTGAAACCTAACTGTCTCTGTCTACAGACACTGACAGCACACAATTGGTTTGTTCATTTATCTAATTTACTTAATTTGGTAAACAAGCATCTCTATATTGATTCAACTGTAACATTATTGTCAGACTAACACACGCTAAAATGTTTCATCTACGTGAGAATTGGGAATAATTCAACAAGGTTCGGCTTTCAATTGTCCGACGAGGCTCATTTTGAATTCTGATAGTTTTGCTGAATGTCGTTTGGGACTCATCTTAGATTGAGTTTGTGTTCACACATTTTAGAAGAAGTCGGGACAAAAATAACTTCAGCTAGAGGAGAAAAGAGGGGAAGGAAGTAGGGCTGTCAAAGTCGACGCTTTAATCTGCAAGATTATTGTGGTTGAGATTTATGCAATAAAATATTTTAATGCAGTTAAAACACTTGTGTTTACTTCTGGTGTGCGTTGACACGAAACCGCCGCGCGCTTCAGTCCGTTGGACCGGGGAGACGGAGACGGTAGTTGAAGACAGAGAGAGCTTTTACAGCTGAGAACTGTGCAGAGGAATTCCTCCACGTGTCAAACAGAAGGGGGGCGAGTGGCAAACGGACCACTTAAAGCACCTCTATGCTAAGCTAGCTGCTATGCTACTTCCATCTCAACGTCTAACGTTACCCTGCGCGGCGCACAGTCGGCAGAGGACCACCACCGTGTCCCTAAAAGACCGTGGTCTGGAAAACGTCCTGGCTAAATGTGCAGAGATTGTTGGCTCTTCAAACACAGCCGTTAAATGAAGGAGAGTTGAGAGCAAAGTGCACGAGGACCGCAGGAAGAGTCACTAGTTCGACATGTTCCACCTTGTGGCATTCGGCCTCGGAGACGATCGAATCTAAAATACACGCTTTCTAAAGTGATTACTGGTTACTGTAGAAGAAAAACGAACTTTTAATAGCGATTAATCTAGATTAATGAATTTCAAAATGTGAGATTAATTAGTTCCCTTTTTTTAATCTATGGACAGCCCAAGAAGGAAGACCTGCCATCTTGCCCAGCAAAAGCACAACCTTCACCACAAGTATCGCTGTTTTTCGTTCCCAAAATAGCCGACTGCTCGGCTAAACAACAACGTAGAAGAACTTAAGGTTACCCAAACAAAAGCTAACATTAGCCCGGCACTTGCCCTTTTTATATAAACAGAGCAACCAGATCTGTACTCTGAACTCTGGTTATTTATCAACTTAGAGGTCGGCGAAACTATATTTTCAAATCCATACAGGTAGTTAACTGAACTAGGCCTCCAGAAGAGGAGACAACCGAGCGGAGGACACGAGGGGGACTGAGAGGAGGAATTGTCGAGGGCCCGCTGTAGGAATCTTGTTGTGGCAGCTGTCCCCCGTCCCCGTCGTCAAACGACCTCAACCTTGATGTGCAGGTCATGATTGGAGTGGACCACTGCGTGAACCCCCCCCCCGCCCACGCACACACAGTGAGAGACATGGAAACAAACACACTTGGCTGGCATATTGCCCAGGGAACAGTCCATTGACGTCAGAGAGCAGGCTCCTGCCTCATCCCAGTCCCCCTTCTCCAAACAAACTCAAAACACCCATTCACTGCTCTCTCTCTCTCTCCCTCTCTCTTTCTCCCTCTCTCTCTTGAATGGGTTCGAGGGCACACACACAGACAGACAAGCGATATTATCGCGCACACGGACACTTCACACTGGTCTGTCGGCCGTCCTCACAGCAGTATCGTGGTAGCGAGTACAGCGGAGTGTAGCCTCAGAGCCGTCTCAGGTAATTAAGGGGAAGCAGCAGACTCTTTCATTCCTCTTTGCTGCCAAAATCTCAGACAGTTAAAGCCAGAGTGTAAGGTAGTAGGAAGGGCTCATTTTCCTTTGCTCAAGGGAGGGTAGGTTCATGTTTTACAAAGTGGTGGTGTCCAAGGGAGAGACATGACCTTTAACATGGCGCAGTGACGTGCTGCTGTACGGCACCTCCTCGCGTTAAATCGCATGTGTATTACTAGGAAAATATATATATTTTCTTTAAACTTGACTCTTGTGCAGTAAGCGATACTATATCTGGGGGGTACTTCTAGGTTTTTTATTGTCCTATGTTATTTGAGAGGCAGCTCAGAGACAAAAGATAATCAATGACTAGCCATGAGATGATTACATTTGGTACGAATGGGACTACTGGGTATACTAGTAAAATGGCTTTGTGACTGCAATATTATAATTTAAACTATAAATCCCCAAGAATGCTTTTTGCGTATGATGTTACAAAGATAACAACCAGAAATGTGCTGTATTTCACTGGTTGCTGAACGTGGGTCTACAGTGAGCAGCCTGTGGTTTAGTACACTGGGGGAATCAGGGAAGCAATCAGGAAAGAAAGCACAGGGCCACAATATGTTCATAATAATTTTTACTCTTTTATGATGTCTGATATCGTCGTCAATGATTTACAGTGTATGGTCCATTCTAACTGAGAAATGTTTGGAGATTTCTTTCCTATTTTTTAATGGCAAACTCATTAGGTTCAATTCTTACTTTGAAGACGCCTCGAGCATTAAGACAATAACCTGCTTTTACACATAAGCTGGACTTAATTAGCTGCAGTCACAACAAGCTGGCGTTTTGAACGAGAAGGAGTCACTAACAGCCCCAATGACAAAAGATAATGGGACTAAATCCTACGGGAATATCTGCACTGACAAAAACACACAACAACAACCGCCTCCCTCTTTACAATGACCGTACAATGATTACGAATCACCTCGTCTGCGCACACACACACACAAACACAATGATGCACTGAGGCACACTTCCTGGGTGACCATATATGGAGGCGGCTTCCTCTCGAGCACAGTTGCCAGGGTGACAGGGAGAAGAAGGGATACATGAACACGGACTAGAAAGACTTGCTAGAAGAATTGCTGATTGCCGGCAGATTTATTGTGCTCTTGGAGCGGAGACAGGATTTACACACATTAAACAAATCAAAGTTGTGTAGATGAACGAAAACTCCCCCCAACACACACACACACAGATATACAAACAAACTTAAACAGACAAACTCATATAAATAGCTGGCTGCTCCACCACAGCTGTTTAAATGTTGCCTCGGATACCATTTTTGACACACACATGAATGGCTACCACCACATGCATGCACCCCCCCCCCCCCCCACACACACACACACACATTCATACATTCATACATTCAGCTACCTTGTTGATGATGTGCTGCTGCTGTTGGAACTGCTGTTTGTGTTTCTCCAGGAACTGCTGGTGTTGCTGCTGGACCACCAGCTGCTGCAGGGCCTGGGCCTGTCCACATTGCTGCTGGGGGAGAGGGGCCGACTGGGTTCTGCCAAGGGGGCGGTGCCCACGGGCAAGTTTGGAGACGGAGGGGGACGGCAGCGGGAGGCCGGCCAGACCAACTGAGGTGAACACATAATGGTCACAGCAGAATGTCAAGCTAGACTCTAGAATTTGGCCATCATTTGCTTTTGAACATATGTAAAGGGCCTCAGATTGATTTATTATAGCAGTTATTTTCCAGCTACACCAGGGTCGCTATCTCTTAACTTATATTTGCAGGAGAGGATTGTACTAGACAGTTTGGTTACATTTATCTTCGGTCCACCTACAAGTCATTTAAAAATATTTTGAGGTGTAATCGCCCATTTAAAAATAACTATAATCCACCTTGCAATTGTTTTCCCACCAGGCAATTTAGGTCTACACTCGCCTCTGTCCAAAAAGCAATCACATCATTTTATCCACCTGGACATTCGTGCAAAATTGTTATAATTGTGATTTGAACTTTTAAAGTATGCCCAAACATATCTATTGTGAGGTCTCATCGAGCTCCAAAAGTTGCCCCCAACTTTACATCTTCAACCAAACCTTTAAGCTACTAGTTCACAGTGTTACATGAAAAATACAATTACAGTACATGGCTGTGAATGTGTGTGTGTGTGTGTGTGTGTGTGTGTGTTTGCAGAAGAGACCTACAAAATAAATCTGTGCGAGAAATGAAAATTGAGGAAGGATTTCTTTGTGCAGAACATTATGTTTTGAAAGCTTGTGATTGTCCGTGTGGAGCTGCTCGGGAAAAAGGGTGGAGAAGGTTCAGCAGCTCTAAGCCATTCATAAAGTAAGACATAAGACATTCAATACATACAATGCAAATGTAGTTAATTAAAGTTTGCAGTGAATGCTGACCCATTGAATTGTGGCTCTGCTCCATCAGCACCATGTGTTGGAGAAGGGGGTTGTGACCAGCCACGCCCCCTCCGCCCCCCTCCCTGTCCAGAGCCGAGGACGCCAAGTAGGAAGGCAGGTGGGCCGTGGGCAGGAAGGGACGGGTCAGAGGAATCCCCTGCTGTAGCGCGGGCAGCGCCAGACGACTCTCGCCATCTTGGTGTACTGACCCCACCTACAGAGAGAGAGAGAGACACAAGACGAGATTGAGACACAAGGAGGGAGACAAAGAGAGGCAGATGGACAGAGACAAAGCAGGGTTAAATGAGACAGAATGGGAGCGAGATGGTGAAAGAGAGGCGCACATGTAAGGCAGCGTCTTGCCAAGAGAATAATTGAGAAGCGGTTTTGCAATCTAAATATCCTTTGGTGTCATGAGTGATGCTGCATTAAAGATTCATAATATTGAGCTTCGACTGTACTCACAGAGCTGGCCTGCCCCGTGGCTGGCAGTCCCAGGGTGATGTTGGGCAGAGAAGGGGAGGTGTAGAGAGACAGCTGGCTGACTGAACCCTCCCTTGCAGCCAACCTCTGAAGCAGGGAGGCCTGAGTGCACACACACACATTGCAGTAAATGATCACAGAGCACAGTCACAAAGTAGACACCATGTCATGTACAAACACACACACACACACACATTCAGAGCTCCCCATTAAAACAGACAGACAATGCCATGTCTGGTCACCCGTCTGCCCCCGTGCACACAGACGGACACACAGGTGGATGTGCAGTAATGTTGGTTACCTCTCCTGGGCTGCAGGAGATATTTACCCCGTTCTCACAGGGGATGTTACTGGAGCTGTTGTTGGGGGAGCTGGGACCGGAGCCCGGTGCGCTGTTGCATGCGGACTCTGTAACACACAACGCACACACTCCATTTGCCTGAGATGCTGAGCTTGACTTCTGGGGTGTGTTCATTTCATAAAAGTACGGATTTAAGTTTTTTTTCCCTTTTTCATTTACATCCAAATTCATTTCAAATGAATGATGATAGCGACTTTATTCATAACATTTCATTAAAAAAACATGTTGCCAGGCAAAATCCAGTCTTTGATGTTCCAAGTATAGAGAAGAATGTGGATATCTTCATCTCTACTCTACAAGTACTGGCAGAAGGAAAGTCCAGTAAGCTCACCAGCCACGTCGAGGGAGCGCTTCTTGGCGGTAGTGATGGGGCCATCTTTCCTCCGGAGGAGAGGGCTGCTGCGGCGCTCCGTCACCTTCTGCTTTAGCCGGGAGCGAAGCTTCAGGTTGGGCTCTGAGGCTGTCGGGACGGAGAGAAGAACAGGGACATGATGGAGGATGAACTCCAAAAGGTGGAGGAGTTTCAGTCTGTATGAGTACAAAACTCTTAAGTAATTGAAGAGCTTCTTTTTCATTTGATGACACTTTTTGTCTATTATAACAATATGAGTGTTATTCCATCCCATTGACTAACTATGTGGCAGCCAACTAAGAGGATGGCGCTAAGAATGGCGAAGTATTTCATCTCCAACCGGGCCAACCAACCACCAGGAGCCAAGAGTTCCACCCTGAGTTTGCTTTGTAAAAGTGAAAATGTGTCGCCACACAAGCAAAGGCTTGTTCAGGGACACGTAGCGGGGCTGATGACCTCGTACCTAAAAGGACCAAACCGTGCGTGTTGGATCCGACGGATCCCCGGCTAAACTCAAGCCGTCGTCACGCGACAGCGGAAAGGGCTGCAACGAGAAAGGAGGCAGCCAACTGGCAGCTTTCTTGACTCTTTCCTTCTCAACAGCGCTCGTTTCCAAAAACACAAGCCACCGTCCGTCGCCACGCGGATTTGTGCGTCCGGCTGTCCCTCTCGTTCTGGATTGGTGGGGGGCAACGTATGGCCGAGTGCCGCGTGACGGCCAGACGGAGAAGAGGCGAGTGCATTCAGCTTATTGTGGGAAACCTCTCTTGTCAGGGACAGGACCCGACCTTTTCTGGTCTCCCTCTGCCAGGCTGCACCAGACACAGGCGGTTTTATTCCCTTCTCCACTGGCTTCCTTCCGATCCATTAGTCGAAACTGGGCGGGTTGACCGACGGCTGACCTGCTGTTCGTTCTGGAAGTTTCTATCAAACAGATCACGCTAAATTCATTAGCCTCAGAGAGGAAGACTTTTTGGTACAGCTGAGTGGAAGCAAACGATCTGTCTTAGTGTAGTGTTGCGGTTTATTGTCATAAGATGTATTCAGGGTCACTATCAACTCTTTGGCCTCTTGCTTCCTGCGGCCTCCGATGAGCTAGGATGGAGCTACGCAGTATTAATGTACCTCAGAGAGGTTCTAGCACTCAATATACCTCCTGGTCTGTGAGGACGACATGAGCAATTTAAAATGTCTGAGCACTTTTTCAAATTGCCCTCGCGCCTGATCTGGAACTCGCGCCTGAGCCTATAACATTCAATTATTTTTTAAAAAGAGCTTCTTCTTCAAGCTTCTAGTGGAGGGCACTCTCCCAAAGTCTTTGTTAAGAGCGATGGAGTGGGTCGAGACCAAACACCATGCATTAGCTGAACTGACAGAAGCAGAAGGGGTGAGTGCGTGAGAAGGAGCGCGGTGCATTCAGGCTCAATTTGAGGCCGTTACACAGGGGATCGTGGTACCCTCTCTCGGCTATGCTAGATAATAACCAAAGCCGTGCTTAAAAAGAATTACACAGGTGTGACGGTGACATAGGCCGCACTCTATCTGGTGCACGGGGAGCAAAGGAGAAGATGCTGGCGCACGGCAGGGTTGCGTTAGCGCGTCCTGAGTCATTAAGAAATGGACAGCTAATCGGAGGAGGACAGAGAGACGGATGAATGGAAGGTCAGAGGGAGGTGATGAGGACGCTGAAGGAGAAAGAGAAGTAGGGGTGTGTGTTTGCCGGGCACCGGCCGCCACGGGGTGTTCACCTCAGGACGCAGTGACTTTGAAGGGTGTTAATGCCGACTGGGCAAAAGCACACCAGTCTGCACACGCGCGAACACACTCGCTGCAGAGGGCCCAGACTGGTTTTTACTGCTGACTCTGGCAGTTTACCGTAGCACTCTCTTCCTCCCATACATCCCCTCCTCTCGCTCTTCCTCCCTCCCTCTAAATCTGCACTCCGGTCTTTCCCCTGGCGCAGCTCCCTCTCTCCTCCGTTGCTTGGCCCCTCTCCCGAGGACATGCACACCAGGAGCAACCGTTGGCATAAGTGCACACTCTGCCTTGTTACGGCATCTTAAGTTATTTTCTGCCGCATTCTGACTATTGTAACTTTGCATACTTCACCCTCTGCAGCTCATTCAGAATGCAGCAGATTGACTGGTCTTAAAACCTGTATTTACTCACACCACTTCACTTCACTGGTTACCAGTAGCTGACTGCAACCGTTGTAAAACATTGGTGCTCACGTACCGTGCGGCAAACAGATCAGGGCGAGTCTTCATCAAGACATGGTCAAACCTCACGTCGATGCCGGCTCACTCCGCTCTGCCAATGCGCTTGTTGTGAAACTGCCCACTGCACCTGGACTAAGTAGCACTTTATCAGCACTTACGATCGCACTTGGTTATAGCACTTTGTAGTTTGTCTTTCTTGTAGAAATGGTACTTTCTTGTCTGTGCCCTCGTGGTTAAATGCACTTATTGTGAGTCGCTTCGGATAAAAGTGCCAGCTAGATTAAATGTAATGTAATACACTCTCGTCAGGCAACAATGTGCCTTCGTCTGTGGGGACACTTAATGCTGCCAAGGTAGCCAATTACCTGGGCTGCTGCAACCCACCGTCCTGGCAATATAACAGTACAATATAAAAAGACTTTTACACACTGATGGGGGGGCGGAATAGGCTTTTGAGGCGAGAATGAGTAATAACACACTAGACTCCCAAGTCCAAGCATGCTTCGCCTTACAAGTGATCTCCTATTACACATCGCTGCTCAAGACGCAACGTTTCTTTCTGACGCCCCGTCACACTTTGATGTGGTCAGAAACACTCCATCCGTCTGATGACATACGAGTATCATTGCTTCAGTGGATGAGGGCTGGAGGAGCAAACTGGTTCCCTGATACAAAACGTATTGATCAGTTGCTCATTTGTTTTGACAGACGGGAGGCCCGGGCTTCATGCTGGGGAAGCCGTGCTGCTCTGTTTCAAGGAAGGGAGACATAAAAATCAATGGAGTAGTTTGCTGAAACTCATCAGTGGAGCTTCCCAGAAATATCCATTGATGATGCATTAAATGTATAGTTTTACGGACCAATGAATAAAACAGACACGTTTTGTTTGTAAATCTCTTTGACTCAAACTATCGATCCAACATTAATCTCATATTTTTACAAAAGAAATTCTTCTTGAAATATCATATAATTTTCCCAACAACTAAGTGTGTCGGTTGTTGTCTCATCGAAGTGTGAATAAAAATGTGTTCAAAGCAAAGGGGGTGAGATTAGATGTTTGAATACAAGGGAATTGGAACGTAAACATAAAAGTTGCCGTTGTCAGCGCTGTTGGCACCTTTAGCACCGTTAGCTGGAAGCCACCGGCTCAACTGTCAACATGTTGAGAGCCATGTGGAGGCAATTGATATGCTCCAAATTCCATTTAGTCCTGCAAAAAATTGGGATTAAAGAGGCAGGCGAGGATTGGCAGGCGGAGGAGAACAACTAGGAAGTTAACTGCATGTGGTTTAAATGTTCTGTGCAGTGTGGAATGGGAATATGTCATTGTGTGTGTGTGTGTGTGTGTGTGTGTGTGAGAGAGAAAGAGTGAGGGACAAAGGGGGTCAGCTGGACAAGTCCGTGTCTGTCGTGAAGGCCTTTGCAGACTTCCTGCCTCGGCGTTCAAAGTGGCCCTCTGTGTTCTCCATTATCACAGAGCCTCTCAGACTCAAGACAATGAGCCCCTGTTGGAGCTGTGTGCCCGGCCCCGCCTCCCCAAAGCACTTTTAGGACTTACACGCCTACGCGTGACAAAACGGGTCATCGCCGCGAACGTCATGTTTGACGGAGCCAGTCGTCGGAGCGGCTCGCGACCGCTGCCGCTCGCTTCCTTCCTCAACACGGGTCATCGGATCTGCAGTGTGCCGCCTCACTGACACAACAGTTCCCCAAACAGCTGAGGACTCGCCTGCGGGAGCACATGTCAGTGTTTCCCTCTCTTATTTTTCCCACAACAAAGAACAATGCCTTCAAATCCTCTCCGAAAAGCTTTCCTGATACATGCGCGGTAATGGGCTCGTGCCACAAAGCCAGCTGCACTTTGTGTCACTAAACTGGGAACATTTCCCAGCGGTTCCATGTGACTGACTGGAGTTGAAACTTTCTTGAAACCCTCCCCGCGTCCAGCTCGCAGCAGGTGGGCAGGAGTGCAGAGCACACGGGGCTCAGCTTCCAGCTGTGAGAGCAGGCAGCGATACTGCCGAGGCAGCTGCCGACGCTAAGTGGACAATCACAGCCTGGCCGGGCTTGACTTGGACAGAGGGAGGAGAACTAACGCTCCGACGCATCCAAAAGGCAGGACTTGGTTTCTAAGCGCTCCTCATGACAGCCCTCGGAGCGGTGAAGGGCCCGCTTTGTTAAGCGGCAGGATCTATGACGTCTGTGGAGGAGTATCCATGAATGAGTTAGCTAATATCTAAAACAGGAGATTAGCCCACAGGCTTTTCAGAATCACTTTTTTTTGGGGGGGGGTCGGGACGCAGATATTGTGGATCTGGTGATGACGCACAAGGCTGAATAGAAGTAAGGAAGTCAATTTCAGACTCAAACGCTTGAATATGTCTACATTGACTCAATGTAAGACCTTGAATCCAAGAAAAGAAAAAACCTTTCTAAAGGCAGAAAGTCCTGGGAAACTGGCTGGTTGTCGTCAGCACACTGCAGATTTAGAGCTTTAGAGGTGCTCATTTTGTCAGCGTTGAGCAGAGCCAGGCTAGATGTTTTTACCCTGCTTCCAGTCTCTATGCTAAGCTATGCTAAGCTAGGGGGCTGCTGCCTGCAAGCACATATTAATCATTAAGACAGGTAGTGGTAGAAAGTCTTCACCCCGACTCCTCAGTTTGAACATTTTCATTTTGAGTTCTCTCAACCCACCTGCCCTCATTTACATAAGAATGGTCGAATTAAAGGACTTCTGGAGACTATTTTAGGGGCCTCTATTAATCCTCCAGGGGCTGACTCCTGGTTCCTGTGCTTGACTTTGAAACCCAATAAGCCATTTCAATCGCTAATGCAAAAGGAAAAGGGAGATTAGGGCTCCCTTCAAGACGTGCAGTGGGAGGCTGGTTTTAAGAGCCGGAGGAATACGGAGGTCAGGAAGTCGCATTACCTCAGCAAAACCACGGCACAACCCTGTACCTGTTTTGCGGAGGGGGAAGTCGTCTTTTGAGTCGTATGTGCCCAGCATCGGGTGGGTGTACGCTGACAATGCTGTTTGGGGAGGAGAACTCTGGTCCAAAGAGCTGTGCTGGGTTTTTCTACAAAAAAAGCAGAAGAAAAAATATTGTCAAAATGCTGGATGAGAGAGAGAGATGAGGCAGAAAGCGGGAAGATACGGAAGATAAGAGTAGAAAAAGGAGAAATGGTGGTGACAGTGAAGGCAAGTCATTTTCATCCAGCGCCACGGCAGAAATGTTTGCCTGCTTAAACCCTCTTCAAATATTTGAAGCGCATGAGAGGTGCCATTGTCTTTTTTCTCAGCCCCCTTCAAACACACACACCTCAAATAGAGCCAGATGTCAATCACCGACTACAAAAATCAAAGTTGGGTTCCTTCAGCGATTCCTCTGTAGTTTCAAGGCAACATGGCGAAGACTTTAAGAGACGCTGATGTTGATGCTAGCAACTTCTTACACATGCAGGGAACAACAAACGGAACGTCAACGCCATAACTGCCAAAGCCACGATGACGGGGCCTTTGATGACGTCGTCATTGCGGCTTTTAGGTTTGATATTTTCCAAGTTTCCAATTTTTCATTTGCTGAGATAAGAAAAGGAAACAAACAAAAGGCTTATGAAAGTGCAAAAAAACCACGCAGGTAGATTACAGATAATCATACCTTTTCATTGGTGTGGATAAATAAACAAAAAGCAGCATTTGAAGATCTTTAAAAGGTAATTATGAAAGAGAAAAATAAAGTAGGACGGTTTGCTTTAAAATGTAGCTTTTCTTTTATATTTTAAGTAAAAGTTGCTTTTGGAGCTTCTCCGAGTGTCTCCGTCTATTTCTCACATATAAAACAAAATGTGTTTTTACGAGGAGTAGTGAATAGGAATAAACTTGAATATCTCATTCATTTCTTCGTCCGACCTCCTCCCGAGCTGTGAGTGCACCTGTAGCGGCGGGCCGGGACACTCACCCATACCAAAAGCGCGGGTCGCTGGGCAGACGGTGGTTGAGGCTTCGCTGAGCCAGGGCCTTTTTCTTGTTCAGGACAAACTCCTGAAGGCGCATCTTAACCTCTGTGCTGGCCACTGCACCTGGCGGAGGCGGAAAGAGGCAGAGGGGAGCGTGAAACCCAGGAACCTAATAATGGTTTCGTAACCGCGTGCAAGAGCTCGTAGGTCTTGCGTGATGGTTCCACTGGAAGTCCACAGAGGCGACAGTAGTGCTCCGTACACATCACGCCGGTTTCATTCTGCTCCCGGCCCTCTCTTCAATTACCGCCCTCGTTTCACGGCTGCAAACAAATTGTCCTGGGAGGCAGAGGTGGATGGGTGAGCGAGGGAGGGAGACAAGAAGAAAAGAAAGGGAAGAAATGGAGGAGAGCGCAGGGAGGGGAAATGGGTGTTTTGAGAATACAAGGAAGCCGCTAAAGGTGCGTGTTTCTAAGACAGTGGGAGTGATAACAGGTGATGTGTGGAGCTCCAGAGAAAAGGCGGTAAATACAGTATGCAAATGTGACAACAGCTAATATGGGCTCACTAAATCACGGTGCAGCTGGAAGTGCTGACATCCCAATATGTCCGCTTCGCCACTGAAGGAAATTGGCTTTTACGAGACTGCCTTCTATGCGATTTATTGCGGTACTTAACAAAGCTTCCTCTGTTTACGAACCCGATGCTCTTTCTATGGATGTCAAACTGGAGGCTATTGCCCGGCAGCAAATGTTCGGGGAAATGGACTTCGCTGACAGAAAATCACGCTTCAACACGTGCGTCCGACATTACGAATATTGGAATGGATTTGTGCTGAAATGTTTGTAATAACTCCACATCGTCAAGCAGCAGCAATATGCAGCAGAAAACAAATACAGGAAAAAGAAAAGCCATCAGCTCAAGGAACAGCCGCACACAGCTCCTCTTGCCAGAAAAAAAAAAAGAAATGCAAAAACAAATTGTGTCAGAGCTCAATTGAGGATTAATTACAGGAACGCTGCATTTGTCACGTTGCAGCAGAACCAACATCCCTCCTGGTTTGGTCAGTTTTGACACGCAAAGGTAATTGCTGGGATCTGGGAGTTTTGACAAAAAGTCTAAATCAAACAGTCCAACAATCAAATATATTTTACACCAACACCCAGCACAGTGGAAATAATCAGGAAAACTTAAAAAGAACGGTTCAACGATTACCCGTCTCTGGCCATCCTATAATATCCTTCACTATTTTCAGCTCCCCCTAATCCATCTCTGACCTCCATCTATTCATAATAACTGCGCATACACCGTTTTCCTATGCAATGAGGGATTATTACCAACATTACTGGCACGCATTTGATTTAATGGCTGAATAAAGTGGTTTTGATAATCCGGCAGCTGGCTTGTTGACAACCGGTCTGATTGTCTGAAAGCGCATGTTTCCGTCTTTGTTATAGAAATGTCACAGTCCCAAAGTCTCAGCGGGCACATTGTCACCATGGTGGTTGAGGATGAGTTAACCAAATCCTCCTTTGGAAACAGAAATGAATGGATGATGACGTCAGGGTGCAGCAGGTGTAACCTCCTGGCTCCATAGGAAAAGCGAACGTGTCGATGTCTTGGTCCCTTCACCTCGTCTTGTCCTTCTCGTTCTGAAAAATCTCCCGCGGTCAATGAGCGAGGTGAGGCCGTTTCTGACGGAGGCGGCAAGTCTGTCTGACACCTGCTCTGATAACATGACATTCAGGAGATGGAGAGGGAATACACGGTCAAACCGAACAGCTGCATTAAAAGCTTGTTCTTGACACTGTGGAACCCGAGGGACGCCGACCCGCCGCCACTGATCGCCTTCAGGCCACTACTCATTCTCATCACGCCACAACGCTCAGATGCCTCGTGTCGTAGTTACTTACTCTCTTGTCCCCGCTCCTTGTTTTTCAGCTGTAGGAGTTTGTGTTCGCGCTGCTGCTTCTCCATCTCCTGCTCGAGATGCTGCTGCTCCATCTTCCTCTGGTGCTCCAACAGCTCCTGTTGGTGCTTGAGTGCCAGTAAATCCTGTTGGTGCTGGTGGAGAGAGACGCAAGACTACAGAAGGAAGAAAAGTCAGAGAAGAGTGGGTGAAGGACACAGTATGGTATGAGCAGAAGTGAGAAGGCCTGCTTTTTAGACTGAAGAATCAATGATGTGAAAAGGTGACCCACCGAATCCAAATCAGCGGTTTCTGTACGCCGTTGATCGCGCTCATTGGCCGACTTTGCGGTCTCGCAGTTCGCTTTATCAAAGTTGAATCGCATACCAAATTCACACACACTACCGGCGTTGTCGGGGTCAAGGTTCCCGTGGGGACGACTGTGGCAGCACGCTACTGACACTGGATCAGATTACGCTCGCGCCGCCCGAGCGTACGCATGCACACGCCTCCGTCCGTCCTCCACCAGGTGCATTTCTGCTGAGTAGCTCGTGTCCAAGGAGCGGAACTCACCTTGACATGCTCCTGCAGCTGGACCTCATGTTGTCGCGACAGCTGCTCGTGCTGCCTCTGGAACTCGGCGATCAGGAGCTGCCGCTGGAGCTGCTGCTTGTGTTTGAGCGTCACCAGCTCCTGCTGCAGCTCCGGCTGATCTGTGGGACGAGACCGACAGGTCAGAGCCTCGGCTCCCCCCGTTACTGCTGTATGTGTATTTATGTGCATGAATATCGAGTCAAATGAGTAATTATTGTATGGTGTTCAGAGCTACTTAACCAGCTGATTCTGTGTTAAATAGCCAGCAGAAAACTTTAAAGCACCAGAGGTAGCGGAGCCACTTACTAACAACCGGCCCGCGGCCTGGCCCATCGCAGGGCATGGGGCAGGCCGCGGAGATAGGCGGCGTAGGGTGGGGTTGGGGGCCCATGCCGAAGGCGGGCTGCTGGTGGGAGTGGTGGTGATGATGGGGGTGGTGATGGTGGTGGTGGTCCACGACGCGCAGGTCCATTGGCAGGATGGCTGTGGTGGTGGGGGGCACCTGCATGGGCAGCGCTGCCGAGCTCACGTCCACTGATGGAGGAGGACAGGTGGAGGAGGGGGTTGGGCAGAGAGAATATGGATGAGAGGAGGAAACAGCAACGCAGGGTTGTGTTCAGAACATGTACCTGCGTGCAGAAAGAGTGATTGCAAATCACAGTATGAAAATTAATCACAAAAACGTCTGGAAAAGTGCATTTTTTCTGGTTCATGGTACAAAATGTATTCAAGGTCCAAAACATTTGATAGCAGCCAAATCACCAAGTTCTCTCTGATCCAAGCGAGACTTCCGAACACGTGTTACATCGGCTGTCTGGGCGCCGCTGCCTTGACTGTTGCACTCGGAATTGCGCTCCATCGTTTGGTCGTTGCCAAACGGGGGACTTAAGTTGAGTTGTAGACACTGGGTGAGAGCTTTAGAGGAAAAAACCCGCAAACTGCGCCGGTCATTCAAACCGCGGTGTCACCGGGAGCCGCGGTGGGAGCGTAAAGGAAGCCTCCGTCAAAAACATCCTACTCGCAGAAGGCCGGCGCACGCGCTCTCCCTGTACACGGAGTGGAATGATGAAACATGGCAGCAGAGAGCAAAAACAATCCCCCAGCAACACCAGTTTTGCCGCAGGGATTTGCTGACACGCATGGAGACTTACCGCGTGTATTTGTGTGTGATTGTCTCCGCGTGGACTATGTGTACGTGTGTGTGTGTGTACTTTTTGCTTACTGCGGCGCACTGCTGGCGGTGTTCAGTGCATATCTCACAGAGAGAGAGAGAAGTGTGCGTGAGGCTGAAGAAGACGGATCCCAAGAGCCGTCACACATCTGAGAGGATACGGACAAAAATACACTCTGTATTTGTCACTATCAGTGTAGACGCCGCGCCGTCGGAGAGAAAGGTCACAGGTACGAGCCCTGCAAATGTCGAATCAAAAAGTTTGAATAGCTCTGCGAGTCTTCCTGCACAATACAATAGTTGTGTTACAGCCTCTGTGTTACGCTCAATCTGCGACGTTACTGGAGTGATCCCGTGAAGTGGGGAGGGGGCTTTCCAAACCTGAGCGTGGGAAAAGCAGAATCCCCGCATGACATGCGAACACTAAATATCAGATAGTATTACCGCAATCTGATTATTTTTCCAGACAACAACACAGCAGCTTACGCACACACACGCGTAAACCCGCCAACACAACATTCGGGAAGCAAGAAAAACCCAAGCAAAATATTTGCTTAATATTACATGTAAGCTTAAGCTTGATAATGAGTTGAAATCTTGCATTCAGCATGAGGACTTATGTGTTTTGGCCTCAAAAAGATACACCAACCAAAGTAGGGAACACAAACTCTTTAAGTTCTTATATTTTATGATAAAAAATAAATCTTCAAAAGCACAAGGGACCACAATTAATCCTCAATTTGTGCTTGCAAAGCCTCCTGTGCGTCGTCCCGTCTTATCGGGTCTATATCTGCTCCGTATGGGGAACCTTGTTGCACCACGCCGAGCCCTCTGCCAGCCATCAATACCCCCCCCCCAAAAAAAAAGCCCAGTGGAGAGCGGCTCCGTCCTATCACGGACGTCCTGGCATCCCCAGTGACCAATGAGCTGGCGATGGAGTGGCAGTTACTTGCTGAGATGGCCAATTACATCATTGGTACCGGGCAGGTTTTGCGTGCGGGAGGAAATTCAACACCGTCCAACGGGACAGCATGGGAGAGAGGGGAGGGTGTGGCCCGGGCCAGACAAGCTGGTGCTACGTGTGTGTCTGTGTGTGTGTGACTGTGTGATTGTGTCGCTATACTTGTGAGGACTTGTTTGAAAGCGGGACTTTTTGTCTGAACGTCTGGTTACGAAAAGATGAGCGATTGCGGGTTTGATTTAACTCATTTGTTGTGACAATCTGACCGTACAATGTTTATAATGTCAATAAGAGTTCCTCTATCAAGATTTTGAAAAAACAAATGAATAAAGAAAGGTTTTTATAAGGCATGTGCTCATGAGGATGTCGTGTGACCATGAGTGTGTTAAAATGATCCTTTGCACTTCTGCAATACACACTCGCTCATTAGAAGGCGGCGCCGGTTGTCGCTCCCGCTCCGATCATCCGTGTTGTCCAAACAAACCCCCGCCCCTCCTCCCCCAGGACAATGGGGGGCCGCTCGGCCCACCACCTCTCCCATTCTTCATCGGGGCATACATGTACACACACAAGCCTGTCATACATTTGATAAGCAGTGAAACGTCAAGGCCAAACAAACAAAACCTTGTGTTGGGTCAGTGCTTTTCCAACGGGGGGCCACTCACTGCATTATTTGGGCCCATTCAGGGGGGGCCAGGGTTTCCAGCGCCGTAGTGCCCCCCCCCCCCCCTTCTACTGTACGTTTTTTTTCCATGCAGACTTTCACCGGTGGAGGGGGTGGTATGGGAGTACGGGAATGACGTCGGATTGACAGATCCGTGGCCCCTGGACTTTGTCTCGCACACTCGCTGTCGGTTTGTGCGGTCTGCCTCCGGCGCCTCGCTCGGCAAGCATGCCAAAGGCCTTCACAAAGGGAGTTTGTTTTCACAAACAAATGGCCTCCCACTCACCCCTAAAACGACAAAATAGTTAAACGGAAAAGAAAGCCACACGTTCGGCTTCCACGCCTTCTCACGCAACGGCATCCATGCAGTTCTCCGGGGAAAGCGGATAAGCAAAGTTCACGGAAAGGAACCCGAACCCAAAAACAACAACAAAAAGGGCAAATGTGTTGGATCAGGATCCATGAGACGGACCGGGTTGGAGGAAAAACTGGGCCCCGTCTGTGATACGAGGTTTGAAGAACCTAAGCTGCTCCACGACCCCCACCTGGATGCAAGCACCTCTTGAGCCTAGTTTATGCTTCTGCGTTTTCGGAGCGACGCAGGCGCCCCTTGTGTGCCTTTTCACACCTCCTTGCGTGCGTCGACCCTCCCGCAGCGCGCAGGGCTGCGATTGGTCTGCTAATTACGTCCTTTACGGAGTCTCACATTTCCGCTTCCATAGCCCGATGCCGCCATTATTAAAACCAAGAACGTTTACGAGAGAACTGATCAGATTGAAGAGCTTTTGTCGGAAGAAATGCGCAAATATGACCGCTTATACAAGCCGTCATTGGCGGCTTGTATAAGCGGGTTGGTTGGAGGGAGATCGCTGCAAACGCCGGTTTGCCGGTCGAGAGGTGCACGAAGTTGTGGAGGAAAATACGGGACAAATGTGTTCGCGAGGAAAAGGAACAGTGGCGATGCACGGGGCAATAAAGTCTATGATAAATAAATAAACAAATAAATAAATAGACGTGACTCTCCAGGTCGTCTTCAACAGAAACACGTCACTCCGCCTGTTGTTCTGGCGGTGAATTGCTCTGCAACACACGCAAGACTTTAGAACCATGAAGTGAAACGAGTGCGTCGACGCAACGACACAGACGCATGCGCCAGCCTTTAGTCCAAGAAACAGTCCCAACGAGCACTGATGGTCACACAGAGACTCCGGTGATCGAGGGGTTGCAGATGGGGAGGCTGTGGAATCAGTGCTCCGACTGCTACACACACACAAGCACACACAAGCACATACTTTTGATAACCTGTGTGTATTCATGTGTCGATACTGTAATCTAAACCTGAAAAACACAGGTTGTATTACAGTATTAAAGTGAATGCTCTTACCACTATTACATATTATGGGGGGGGGCTGTGGAAACCAGAGAACTCTTTTAAAGTCTTAAGCCGTGGCCCCTTTGGAGCCGGCTTTTGGCGATGGCCGCTCGCGGTTAACGACAGGAACGCTCCAAGAACGGGGGGGCGGCGGAGGGGACTCGCGAGGCGGCGGGACACGGGCACCTGTGAAGTCATTAGCCCGGCTTACACGGATGGCACTCTGCGGTTGTGGCATGAGGTAATGGTGCCGAGGCCAACGGGAGAAGGGGGGGGGGGGGGGACTCGGGCCGTTTGGGCGAGCTTTCCCCACTGCAGCCTGCGGGTGACATCACGAGCGAGGGGGAAATGAATACAACGTGTGCAGATTCTACGAGGCAAAAGGGGCCTGACGGCTTCGCTTTCTTGCATCGTCGTCACATGGAAACTTAGACTAAGACGTGAGCAAATAGGGAACACACGTTTATTATAGATGTAGTATTCGTGTACTGGTACACGATCAGGCCCGAAGTGTGTTGGAACTCGTGAAGCAAGGAAAGCAGAGGCGGAAGCGAGATGAACTCTGTTGATTTCCAGACGGGAAATTGTGTTTACTTTGTGAGATCCCACGGAGCTGAGAGGTTTCCCCCTCCGCAAGCGCGCCGATGTGAAATCCGGCTGAACTTGCCCAAAAAAAAAAAGGGGGTGAAAAAAGACCCGAAATGTCAGCCTGAACCGCTGTTCAAACTAATCCAAACTGATCATCCGTCACTCTGCGTGCACGTCGATCCCTGATTCTTTCCCTCCCCTCCCTCCCCTCCCTCGCCTCCCTCCTCTCCCGCCCTCCACAATCAGCCTAAGATCATGGATCACACACAGGCAGCTATTTATAGAGCAGGATTCCCGAGGGAGCTCCTCACCCCACCGGCCATCAATGCACGTTCAGTCAAGTTCACGCCGAGCCGAGTGCACGCGCTCACGTAAAAGGATGTGAGACAGTGTGTGTGTGTGTGATTAAAAATAATAACAGATGCAGAACAAGCAATAATGGTCGGTGGGGGCGCCGCCGATTCGACGCGTGGTCGGCACGTCGATCCGTGTCACGGCGTGTCCCCGGGGTGCTGCAGCTCGTTGTGCTGGACGTCACGTCGCGCTTTGTTTTCTCCACCCCTCCGTCTCAGAGGACGGGGTCATTTAAAGAGGGAACAAGAGAAACTGCCCTCGATCAAGCGGCCTATGAACGAGCTCCAGCGCTGACCGGCCAACAGATCCACATGAACCGGGACGGGGGAGACGTGGGGCCACGCGCTCGCCAAAACAAAACAACGGAGAATGTAAACAAGTGCAGAGATATAATGCGTTTCTGATCAACTCCTCTGTATCACTT